CAGCCTTAGCCAGGCCTTCGGAGCAACTATAGAATGCAGGGCCACGCCGGAGCAAGGTTTTTTATTTTGCTTGGAGGCGTGGATGGATAGGAGTAATACTAATAGATATGCAAACCTGCAAAAAGTGCTTAGTACAGCGAATGCACTTGTCTTCTAAGCTTCTCATGAAGGATCGGAAGAGAGGGCGTGCTTGTAAATGTGTTGTGGGTACGGTACGGATCGGAGTCGTTGAGTGGCGGAGGCGCGGAGTCGTGGAGTCGCAGAGCCGCAGAGCCGTGGAGACGCGGGGCACTGGAGTGGCGGAGGCGCGGAGTCGTAGAGTCGCGGCAGAGACGCGGGGCACTGGAGTGGCGGAGGCGCGGAGTCGTGGAGTCGCAGAGACTCGAGCCGATAGAGGGCGCAATTCTCGGCGGAATTTTTTTGAGAACGAAGCATCCATATCCATTTTAAATGAGGTCGCAAATTAGGAAGGGAGGAGGGCGACGGGGGCGGCGGGGCACTGTCTGGAGTGGCGGAGGCGCGGAGTCGTGGAGTCGCAGAGACGCGCACCGATAGAGGGCGCAATTCTCGGAGATATCGACTGCGGCTCCATGACTCCACGATCGATTTTCGGAGGTAGGTCGACTGCGGCTCCACGCCTCCACGCAGCCGTACGGAGGCGCGGATGTAGAGTAAAGTGGCCCTGGTAAAGTAAAGTTGTACCAGGCCTTCTTCAGAGGTAAATGACAGAGGAACAAGAAATAAACATGTAGGGGACACACAAACATGCAGGGTTGAAAGGAGAATCACAAAGAGGGATGGGGGGGGGGGGGGCAGACCAATCCATATCTGGCTACCATCTCTCAATTTTTTGGTCTTCATGTACAAATCTATATTCCATGACTGAAATTTTAAAAAATAAATCAATATTTTCTTGCTCCAAATTTTTTTCGAATCAGGCTTACAAGGAGGTCCAATGTAAAATTAAAGTTGCATTTAAATATCCGTTAGTGGTCATTGCTGAAACCAAGGGGTGGCTGTGGAGTTTAGGGTCCGAGTTCCTATAACAGATGAAACATCCGCCTTTAACTTTTTACTTTTGTCAAGTTTCAACATGTTCAAGTTTTGCAAAAACTAGTACAAATTGTCGTACTCCTAAGTTAGAGTTTCTTCATCAGATTTACACTTTAAAGTAGTCAAACAATATTTAAAAAAAAAAAAATTAAAAGTGGCAAAAATATATGGAGTTCATCAAATAAGGTTTTCCCCTTCTTTAAATTAGGTTGTTTCCAATTGTTTTAATTGATTGTGACAATAACAAATTCTGTTGCCATGTTGTAACTTATGGCATGAAGCAAACACGAAGAGCACTCGCATGACACAATTAAGCAGGTACAAGTGATTCCTAACTTTTCAATCACTTCCTTCCATGAACATCAACATCTCAAGGACAGACTGTTCAGCTGTAATTAGTGTCTTGTTGTTTATTTAGATTATTGTTATTTATTATCCGCGGTCTCGGTCTCGGTCTCGGTCTCGGACCATTTCGGTCTCGGTCTCGGTCCGCCTTGAAGGGGCTGGTTTCGGTCTCGGTCTCGGTCTCGCAACTTCAGGTCTCGGTCTTGGTCTCGGTCTCGGACTATCCGGTCTCGACTACAACACTGGTGTCGAGTAAAGCTTATGCTTATAATAGTTCTTGTGTCACATTAGTGTTCATAAATGTACATCATACTTTGACAAACAATAGGACCTGAAGAACCGCTATCATTAGAACATTATAGCACCTTTACTTACATCTACAAAGATTATACAATGTAGGCCTATTAACACGTGAAGTGAACAACAAATTGAACACACGTCTTTTTACACCCCCAATATTGAAATGATGATCAGTCACATGATGATAAAATGGCAGCCGTCAGTTTCAAATCATGTAACTTCGTTTGTGAACTTGATTGGTAAAACATAAATATCGCGTCCGGTGAAATCGGGGTGCTACCCGCACGCGAATTTTTTCCCCAAATGAGATCGGACAATATCAAAAGAGGGCGGTGTCACTGCGTTATGCATATTCATGCTATCCAGGGCTTTTATAACAAGGAATTTCTTGGCAGCTGATTCGTGGACTGGTTGGATGTAGTCCTGACTTCTATTCAGGTGATCCGAGTTCGAATCTCAGTGAGCGTTTTTCACTTCTTCTCATTTTACCTTTCAAATAACTAAAGTGAGGAAGGAACATTTTCTCACAAGACGTAAAGCCTATCTTGGGTTTGTGTTGTGGAGAACAAGGCATCAGATATGCATGTAATGGACCAATCAGAAGATGGGAAACGGATGTCGTTTGGGGAAAAAAATATTCGCTACCCGCACACCTTTCCAGTGACATGGTGCGAACAAATCAAAGGTTTGATTTCATCCGGTCGCCCTGTGAACAGTCAGATCGGTCCGATTTTTAAGCGCACACCTCTCCGATCTGTACGTCCGATGGCCCAAAAGTCGAAAGGTGTGCGGCAGGCTTTATTTTTTTGCTAAAAACTGTTCCCCTTCAAGCAGGGGCGGATATAGCTTGGAGGGGGGGGGGGTGATATTAGGGGAGTTTAGTATAAGGTTCGCCGAAGGCACGCCCTGCTAGTGGATCAGAGGGCATACCCCCCCCCCCGAAAAAACTTTGACATCTACGATGAATTTCTCCTGCATTCTAAGGCAATTCGAGAATAAATGCAGGAACTTTAGTATTTCATTTATTATTTTGACCCCATTTTACAAGTATAATAACATTAGTCAGCGGCTCAACGGGAGCCCCCCTCTAGATCCGCTTCTATCAAGTAGGCCCTACCTGATACGAAATTGAAAAAAGTGAACATTTTACGCCGCTATGATCAACACATCTCTTATCTTATAATATTGGTATCAAAACATGGCCCATGGACAAGATAAAAGTTCAAATCTCGCGAAAGCAAACTTCCAAGCAGAATAGGACGTTTCTTGAAGAAGATTATCCGCAGTTCAATTCAGTAAGTGATTGTTCGTGCCTCGGTAATTATTATGCTGGCCCAGCGAAAGTAACGAATCTATTCACCACCTTTTATCGATCTTAGAGTTTAAAAAACGTGCCCGTTCGTCGGGAGCAACTCTGATTTCCATGCCTGGTGCCACAAGACATTGTGGATAACTCAATGGACGGAAAGAAAAATGCATGGATCGTGCGCAGACAGAAGAGCTTGCGCTAGGTGAATGACTTCACAAGGGTGTATCTAATGAGAGCTCAAAGACATTCTGAGGTCATTGTCGACCTCGGATAGGGCGATGAGGATGAGCCAATATTTTGCCAGTTAAATTTCAATGAGGTATTTTAAAGTGCTTACTACAAAATTGTCATTCCAACATTGATTTATGGATCCTATAAAAAAGCAGATATTATACCCCGACAAGTTTTATGGACAAAGGAAGACAGTAAGCGACGAAGTTATACTTGAGCCGATGTGGTTTTAATATTCGTTTGACGGCGATGCCTTTTCTCTCTCTGATTCTAGATTATACTGAGATTATATACATTTGATTGACATTCCAATCTTTTAGCTATCTTATAACAGGTTGTCTTGTCTAATTACAAATTGTGCAATAACTTTTGAATGTTGATAATACGAGATTGGAGGTGTTTGGTCCACTTGAATCTGGGAGTAGGGCTAGGCAAATTAAAATCCGTGGGCTGATGCACTACGAATTTCCGGTCCAGCCAAGAGCCCACCCACAATCGAGGGAAAATACAACATTTGCAAACATCAAAAAATAAAACTACCAAATCATTTTGAAATACCTTACTGGACTGTTAGTGAATGACAGTGTAAAGCATCCTGTAAAATCATGGCACCTGGTATACTGTCATTTTCAAGAAAAGTGGTATTTTTGTATTCGGCCGACCAGCGTTGGAAAAAAACTGGCTTTTTTCAAATACTGGCCCCAATTGACCATCGCACTTGTGCAATCGATTACACACCTATGAACGGGTACAAGCCAGCTAGACTGGTTCCCTGACCTTACAATTCCCCAATGTATGTAAACTGCTCTGTTTCTTCTTATATGGAGTCAGGGAACCAGACTACGGGAAAATGATTGTTTTTCTTGGTTTTTATAGCATTTTCGAACCCAAAACCTCAAAAAAGTCAGTGTAACTATATTTGCTATATATTTTCAACCCCCCAATTCCATCCATTTCTGAAAATTACAGCAAAAGCAAATGATGTATATTCCGTTTAAATTAGCCATTCCTTAGGATGATGTGTCTCATAATCAGGAAAGTGGTCGTGTTTTTTAAGGTCAACCCGTACAAAAATGTTTTATCATGGTGATGTTATCGAAACCCAATGGTTTCTTTATTTTGCTATTTACCCACAGGCATTAAGGAACGAGTAGTTGATGACATCCCTCATTCTTGTTTCGAGTTAATATATATACATGTACACTATAGTGCTCCATACAGCTTTAATATACACATTAATGGTGAAGAATATAAGTAAAATGTAATATAGGTTTTCACGGCCAATTTCCTAAAATGTTCATTCACTTCTGAAAATCGTCCATTCATTTTGGTCTGAATTTGAGAATCGCTCTGAACACACGTTTCATTTTCGCTACCAGAGTATTCGATTCCATTTCAGTTCAATCAATTAAGTGATTGAGCAGCACCTTTCGTTAATGTCCATTCAGATTCGTTTACAAGACTTTCTTTTTCGCTTTTAGAAGGCGATTTCAAACATTCACCATTCTGTTTCACTTTTGCTTTAACGCCATTGGCACCTGATACAATTAGGGGTTTCTTTACGATTTTGCACACCCCCTAGGGAGTTAGGGTTACCCGTCAATCAAATTCGCTGTTTGTACCTGAAATCAATTTAGAAATGGCATGCTTGCGTAAATGAATGCACAGGTAACATAATTGGCCGTCTGTTTCTCAAAACCGAATGCACGGACAATGAAAACGATTGAGTTTTCGTTGAATTGAAATGGGATTAAAGACGTGCATTCAAATTGAGACGGAAATGAATGACCGATTTTCAGAAGTGTATGAACATTTTAGGAAATTGGCCGGGAAAACTTTAGTATATTTTATGAGCATTATTATACACAGCAGGCTGATTAGCTATTACGCGAAATAAAAACTTGGCCTTTTTCTACCGATTGGCCTAATATTTACTCTTCTATGGTTTAATAAGGTTGTCCAGAAATATACATCTGTGGTTTTCCTCCATTTTTGCTTCTTTGGTACAATACAGCAACATTTTCATTGAATATTTTAACAGTGTTGTAGTCGAGTACGTTTTCCTGAGTGCCGAGTACTGCCGAGTATTTAGGTTGCCGAGTACGAGTATACGAGTACTTGTATTCCGAGTGAGTACTAGTACAAATGTGCTTGAAGCCGAAAATTATGTGTACTATTAATCATTTTTGATACAAACTTGGGGTTGTCTTTGTAAGCATTTTTCAATTAAATAATTTGAATTTTTTTATCTGCAAAAGCAGTCTCAAATCAATGTGTTTTCGTTGTGATCTTTGAAGCTAAGCTGCACGATAGTGGAGCCCAAATACGAGTACCGTCATTTCGAGTACGAGTACTTTGACATTCGAGTACGAGTACTCCAAAAAAAAGTACTAGAGTAGTACTGGAGTACTACAACACTGTATTTTAGTATTATTAGGCCTATATGACAGATATTACAATGCGTTTAATATAATATACACGCCGGTTGAAGTACTTTAAGCCTGGTTTCCATATCGACGTTAAGCACGCAGACAAGTCAGACTGCGCAGACAGTACGCGGATCCGGAAGTGTCGGCGACACTTCCGGATGAAATGTTTCCATTTGTCTGCGTTGCAGGTTTGGGTCTTCTTTGCCTTTCACTTTGCGTTTCTAATGTCGATATAGAAACTAGGCTTTACATTGCATTTTGTATGGCCTTGCAAACAAACCGTGTATGGTATAAATTTCGATATGTAATTCAACTTTGTCAGCCTAAAGGTTCTTATATACAAATGTTTCATTGAACTTTCACAAACTAAGAGACCATATTCAGCTTTATTGCTTTGGGAAGATATACAAGTCCGAAAAGCATCAAACACGGGTCTACCACTTTAAGCAAATGTCCAAGCATGGGCATGATTCCTTGGAATATGAAAAGTATGTTTTCAGCCAACGACAGCGTCTACAAGACGTCTATGGAGTGAATATACAGTCTCAATTATTCTTAATTATTCTTTTTAAGCTTTTTCTTCTGCACATTCTGTCTCGGTGACAAAGACGTCATCAGGAATTCGGGCGTAACGATCGCCGGCGTTCTGATCTGTGCCTGTTGATGGTGGGGCCTGCCGTACGCAGAACAGGCAGGACCGGGCGAAGCGCATTAGAGGCTCGCGGTGGGTAGCGCTGATCGCAAACACTACGACGGGATTCAGACAGGAATTCACGTACACCAGGACGTGAGCTACCTCACTTAAAGTCATATAGGTCTCAAAGGAGATGGCGAGAATCTGATCCCAGCTGGTGTAGAGGAAATACAGGTTAATAGCGTGGCCTGGAAGCCAGCAGATAGCGAAGGCAATGTTGAGAACGAGCACTACGATGGCAAGACGCCTCATGGCGCGTACGGCTGCAGTGCTTGAGGGAGTACCGCGTACCAAAACGGCAGCCATGCCGCAGTAGCAGCAGGTTATCACGAGCAGAGGTATCAGGTACTTCAGCACGAAGCCTGTGGTGAGGAAACCCTTCGCCGTGGGGTTATCCCGGGTATGAACAGGTACGACGTGACAAATGGAGAAGGACCTAGAATACTTGACGACCTTAGCCCAGACTAACAAGGGCACGGTACAGACGACCGCGAAGACCCACACGAGGAACAGAATGACCGCGGTGCGTTTGGTATGTATCTTCCAACGGAGGGTGCAATACCGCTCGATGCTAACTGCCGTTAGGGAAGCTACGCATAGCGCCTGGGCGAGGCTATAAGAACCACCGGTTAACTTGCATAGGAAGTCACCCAGGTCGTTGTCGGGCCAATTGAAGACGTGCCAGTGCAAGATGTCAGAGGGCACGGCGAAGATAAACATGATCAAGTCAGCTACGGCTAGGTTTCCGACGAGAATGTTGGAAACTGTGCGCAGGTGCCGGTTGAGTGCAATCACCTAAACAAATACAGAAGGAAATGGGAAAAAAAAAAAAATTTAAAGGAATATTCACAAGAAGTGACGATTTGGAGCGACAAGGCGATTTTTTTAGTGGATACTCGAACACTAGTCTTACTGGACTATATTTACCCAACGTAACATAATTCACAAATCTTACATAAGCTTAAAAAAAAACGCAACACTAAACATAATCCGGAGGCGAGGAATCGAATTCGTCGAGGTATGGTACCAAAGAGCTTGAACTTGGCTAGAAACAACCGCTTAGCTATATGTGGGTTTCAGGAAATATACTAGGATGAATATATTAAAGTGAGGGGAGTGGCATGGGGGCATACCGGGTGAATGGGACCAAATAAAGGTGGAATATGAGGCCCTAAAGCCTTTAGAAGATTTGTATGATTAAAATGTGGATTAAAACTGTACTTAAAAACTGTCGGAAAGAGTCTACAACAGGGATATGTCCATTGCACATTACTATCGGGCCCCCCTTTTTTTGAATGAGGAGAAGGCCCCCCTCTTCTCCCTGGCTGCGCCATTGAGCATCGGTGAGTTGCAAATTACCATTAGCAGAGCGGAATTGGCCACTATCCCAAAGACCGCCATGATGAGGGTGACCGTGAAATTCCACCTCCATGGTACGTGTATGCTGTGCGAGTAATCATCACTGCTGGTCGCGTTGTAAATGTAGTCCTCGTAATCTTCAAGGTCAAAAGCTGCCAAAAGAAATCCAACAGACATGTATTAAAAATGCACTCCCTATGAGTTTCACCTCGGAAAATAACTTCCTCTTTTTTCGATCGCTATTTTCCTAGCAATGTAAAAGTTGTTTACTCTTGAACAAGACTTCGAACGAAACAATTCACCGACGTTTAGTTATTGAATTAGTTTTTTTTCACAAAATACGAATTATTGGCTGGCAGACAATAATTCGGCTCTTCGGCAGGGCGGGATATTTTGTGCGGAAAATGAAAGCCCTTTGTTGCAAACGCCCAGAATCGGAATAAAGAGTTTGTTTCGTTGCAATAAAACATACAAATTAAAAATTCGTTAGGAGACAAACCAAAATCTATTTGTAAAGAGCACGGGGTATGCATCTTTAACCCTACAAGGGCAGGGTTATTTTGACCATCTCTCAGCCGGGGGTTTCCACCCCCCCCCCCCCAGATATTGGCCATCGAGTGACGAAACATTTTGAAACTCGGTACATGCAAACAGCAACTGATCATAAACATACCAACGAAATTTCATGACTATAGATCAAAGGGTTTTGGAATTATGGCTACTTAATTATTCATATGTACGAATGGTAATTCTGCTCTGTGTACACGACGTAAAAGGGGCAATTCAGGTTTCACGGCGCGTAGCGCCGGAATTTTTGTTTTTCGCTGCGCGGCAACCCATGTTCCGATTTTTTTTTATTTTTGGTATCAAAGGATGCGCAAGGCTCGAGGTTAAAAAGCCATAACAGTTCGGGTCGCGAAAACAATTTGTTCAAGGCTATCGCGGAAAAAGGCTATCGCGGATTCCGCCCCCGGCCCTTTTAGGGTTAAAGGACCACCTTCATAGTTCACTCTAAGGTTTTCAAAAAGTGACTTCAAACGCGTGTATAGTCTGAAACAAGCGTGGGACCTTATATCACACAGATTATTGTCGCTTATGTGATATGTAGTGATCTCCAAATAAATATGGGGATAGCCAATTGACTTTCAGAAGTAAAGTCACCGTCCGACAACTACCACTCAAGAACAATAGATTTGCAATGTAAAGAAAGATGTCTACTTTAATGGACATGAACAATTGTTACTCATCAAATTATTATTTATTTGTTTTGAAATGTTACAATAAAAACAAAATATATTTTAAATTAAATTTATTTTTAGGAATAACAATTTTCGTGTATCCTTTAAGACGACTCTGTTTTAAGTATTACAAACAATTGGAGTAGTTGAGACTGGTTCCCTCCTCACATATTCCAATGGAGGGATTGGGAACCAGTGCGCAGTTTCACTTTTTAGTACAGCTCGGAATAGTTAACGAGCTTTTTATATCCAGATTTTTTAATGGAGTTTTATGTATACGCTATATTTTATACGGCGCCAGACTAAAACATCCGTGACTTTATCCACTGCTAAAAATACGTGTATAAGCAAAGCTAAATATATATGTATATATATATTGCTGTCCTATCAGATATATAGACTAAACAAACGAGTTTTTTTCAACCTGTTTTTGGAAACTGTCTGACAGAGATTGTTGTGAATTTTCTATGGCAAAGGCCTTTAAAATGAAACATACATTTTGAAGACTTCCTGACGAACTTAAAACTTTAAGCCTGGTATCGGTCCGCCTTTTGTTTCAGCGCTGGTTTGAATATTTTCGTTTCTTGTGATTACGGATATTTGCCACTTTCCTTGCAAATTCAATTCCTTGCTAAAGTGGTGACACAGCTGTAATGGCTACATGATAGATCCCTAGTGGCAGTTTGAAAATATTTTCAGAGGCTGCTCACACGAAATAGCAGTGCTATTAGGCCTATACATTAAGGAATCAAAGTTCGCATAATGATGTCCATCAAAACAGTTTGCAATCGAATCTAATGAAATTGGTTTAAAAGTCGTTGTTTTAATAATTACAACCTTGCGAAACAAATAGGAGAAAAAAACCTGAGAAACAAAACGAACACACTGAAGACACAGAAGTGTTGTAGAATCAACACCATTGTTATATTTGCCATTTTTAGCTTACTGTCGTGTACACAAAGATCCACTGTAGACGTGTCCGAGTTATATCAAACTCGAAAAAAATCACATTTCCTGAGCCACCGGATGTTAAACACTTGAAATCCGCGCACGCTCAGTACAACCATCTGTAAACAAACTATCAGTGTCGCATGGAACTTAACGTCTCGACATTAGACAAAGTCAAGGGACAAATATTTTGAATCCCATGACTATACCAGAAAAAAAAGATACCAAGTGTTTTGAGCAATATTTTACTTTTCCCCTTTTTTTGGGGGGGGGGGATAATCAAACTACCATTATCTGTAATAGTAATTGAGAAGAGTGTTTAAAGCTTAGTAGTAATTGTTGATATTTGACTGTCAAAGCGATCGTCAACAATATATTTTTTATGCAACCAAGTATAGTCAATTACCATCATGCGCATGCCTGAAAGTCTTTGACTATGCGTGGTTGCAGAAAACTGCCAACCGTCGCAAAACATTGGCAGCATACGGACGAGAAATAGGCCCATGCTGAACCCCCTACAGTTTAAACACCGATTCAATATCAACGAAGACAGGGTTGTTCTTTTTGCTGGAGCAAGGGCATACCTATAAGGGGGGATATTTACTTATTGCTGGGAAACAAGTCTAGGCTAGCCTATAGTAAAACTGTTCTTGGGTCAGTTATTTTGATCTAAGGTTCTATATAGGTAGTTATCTGAATCAACTGTTTTTGGGCCACTGGTGAAACTGAAGCAGGTGTAACTCACAAGTGATATTCAATTGAACCAGCCTGGTATATGCTGGTACTAGTAAGAGGACTGTAAGCTGGCTGTGTACTAAATGCATAATGAAAACCATACAGAATCTCAGCAGCAGTTGGTCATAGTCTTCAGACATTACCGTCTTAAACGGATGACGGATAGAAAGTTGTCGATATACTTACAACTAATGAAGTAGCTTGACTCGTCCATTCCTTCCTCCATGGTTCAGCAGAGTAAATGTCCAACAGTCCCACTTCACACAAACACCAGATCTGTCCTTGGCTTAAAACGATCACGCCACAGGCTTCTTGTGCGGAAAAACTGTGTAAACAAAATGTCTAGGAAGAGCGGCCGAGTTGGGTGACCTACCTGCCCTCAGATCAGCAGAGCGATGATTGGCATGCGTTGATGTCTGATACACACGCGATCCTATATCCGCCTGATGTGCAATATACTACAGTACCGAGTATAACTGGGAAAACAAAAATGTTCATCAAATACAAAATCCCCGAGTTTGTTCACCACTTGTACCGATATGAAAGAATTAACGAAAGTCTTTCCTGGGCCTCCTGATGACGTTTGAGTTCTTTTTCGGGAAGGCAGCTTTAATTACACACGGATTTGAAATACTGCAGATAAACATATCGTCACAGTTTTCACGAAGAGACAATTTTGGCAAAAATCAGTATATTTTCGAAATTCTTATTTTGGCCGAAATCGATTAAGTGTATTGCAGCAGACATCTTGGCGAATTTATTTTGTCAAAATCAGATGAAATCATTGTGATCATGAGAATCAATAAAGGGAAAATTTCATCCAAGTCGTATTTTCAGTTTTCACGAAGAGACAATTGTAGCAAAAATGCATGTTGTTCTATGGGGACAAAATAAAGCGCGTGTGCGATTTTGAGTTTTCACGAAGAGACAATTTTCAAGCGCGCGCAAGCAAAACGACGCGTGCGGGAAAAACGAAGCGCGTGTTGGATTTTGAGTTTTCACGAAGAGCCAATTTGTGCGTGTTTGGATAGCGGAGAGTTTGAGTTTTCACGAAGAGACAATTGGATCATTGCCAATTTTCCCGGCAAAACCAATCGCCTGTGGATTTTGAGTTTTCACGAAGAGACAATTGACTATGAACGTTAATTGCTCCGCAATTAATTGGTCTATTGACTCGCAATTGGTACAATGTGTTAGTGTGAGATTTCAGCTTACTATCGGTATAAAAAATAATCAACATGTCTTCTAAAAATAGGCGAAATCTTCAGTTTAAAAAGGGTTCAACTTTAAAGTCGATTTTCTCAAAACTATGTTTCAACGCCCCGTGGCCAAAATTGGCTCTTCGTGAAAACTCTGACGATATCAACCATGTTTCCCCATAGTGGGTAACAGCATGACAGATCCCAAGTGCCAACCAAACTTGCTTTGACGTGACCTTGACGGTGAACTGTGCTATCAGTTGACTTCCTCATTGACATATACGGACACAAGGAAAACAACGCTGTGGCGATAGTAGGGGAAATAGGAGAAAAATAGGAGGTCAAGGAGAAATTCAATAGTTTCCTGGCCTTGTTTTGAAGGAGCACTTGCGAGAGAATTATGCGCCCTTAATGTGCTTGAAAACACGTATGAAATGTTTATACATTGTAGCTGAAAAGGTAGTTCAAAGAACGATACATGTAACTTTAAAATTTGATGTTTTCGTGTTTCTGCGCGAACAAAACTTGATTTCAGGGATTTCAACCACTTCCTATTTTTAAGCTCTGGCAGGAGCTTCTGTCATGGTTCTGTCACGGATGGTCTGTCTGTCGGTCCCGAAAATTGACCAAAAGTATGTCACATTTTTTGGCGTTTTAACTTCTGGCAGGTAGGCTATCAGTTTGATCGATTTCATGCAAGACTTTCATGCAAGACTTCTTGCAACACGGCCAGAGCTTGTTGTACACTCGCACTTGTTGCATGTAACGCCATTAGGGCACCCAGCACCCGATGCGAAGCTGAGGGTACTTTGCGCCCCATGAGGTAAAAAAAAGTCCCACATCACAGCAGTCAACAAGTGTTTTGTTCTGTCGTACCAATAAGTCAAAACGATAAAGGTTATAACTCACTTTATTCAAGAAATAAATTGAAATCATTGCAGTGTTACCCTTTGATTACTGTGAACTTTCCTACAAGACAAGATATTGAACGGTTGCAGTTCTTTGTTTCGAGGCGCGGGGCCTACAAACGCACCCTTCACGCGCGCAATATAGACAAATGTATGCGACACAGCGTATAATGAGGTAATTCATAATTATGCAACGCAGTGTATATCAAGTAAACAGTCATATTTATATAGACTGGACATGTGGCCGTTCTAGATCAATGAAATCACAAAATCCAAGACACGGTACAATAAATCGGATTGTTACACATGTTTCGTGCGTTTCGCCACAGCGGTCAATTCTATACAGCGCTGAAGGTAGCACGTTCCTTCCTGTCAGAGTAATAACGGAAATGGCTAACATTTCCTCATGGAAGTTGGCAACAGTGCATTTTGTATTGTGTCTTATGTTAACTCAATTCTATCCGGTGTTTGGTTTCTTTATAGACAGAAAAGGGCATTTCCTCCAAGGACCTATTTCCTCCAGTGGTGCTCTCATCAAAATGGTGTTTAGAGCACTGACCTATAGGTAGCGGCGCTTTAGGTAAGAGTCAGAGAGTTGTATTTTATCATTGTTGTCTATGGCAATTAATTTTAACGTGACTTTGCCTCGCCCGCTGGGTGAACACCCGGGCGCCAACTCGTAAACAGTGGCGTAGCCAGGAATTTTTCAGTGAGGGGGGGGGGGGGGGGGGGGGGGGACATTGCATGGGGGGGGGGGGGGCGTCATGTAGATCAATGATCATTTTTTTAGAAACTCAAAATCTCAGTGGGGGGCGGGGCGACTGGGGGGCGACAAGGTTTCATGGGGGGGGGCTGTCGCCACCCACGCCCCCCCCCCCGCCACTGCTCGTAAATGATCAACTTTTTGGGTGTACACGTCTTCAACCGTGCACCTCCAATGTTTTGTCCTTCAATTGTTTATACCTTGACCTTTTTTTTTTGAAAAGCGCCCTCATTGGTCTTGATAATTATGTCCCAACCCCACAGTATACGGCTCCCTTAGTCCCAAAAAAAGTCTCCGGTTTCTGGTATGCGCGCGCGTCGCCGTAGTCATGCGCGTCGGCAAAATGAAACAGGGTTTTTTTCAATGAAAGATGATGTCTCAAAACCGCCAAACTCACTGGTTTGACTGGAATCCTGCTGCTGCACAATTTAAACGTGTTTTTGGATGGGGTTATGATCGAGAATAAGTGTTTATGTGGCCTCTCTGGACTCCCATAATATTTGCACTAAGTTTAGTCGGGCACCATTTGCAGTCCTCAGCCGACATTTGAGGCAAAAAAAAAATCAGGTAAAAAAAAAAAAAAGCCGCGTCGCCGCACCACTTTTTGGGCAAGCTTCATACCAGAAACCGGAGACTTTTTTTTTGGCCTTACCTCAGCGTGGAACTTTCTTTATGGAAGGTGGCGCCCTTCTTCTATGAAAGTCTGGTTCCCAGACCAAAAGATTCTGACTATTTCTGATGAATCTTAGGTTCGGTAGCCGCCACGGTCACGTGACCTAAACAGGAGGGATTCCTTTCGATTCCGGTTGCCTAGGGGTATTCCAAAACTCGGCTTCGTCTTTGCCTGCTATCTGGGTCCCTATCTTAAAGATTGGAGCTCAACATCAGTCAATGTTTTCGTACAGAAATATCAAACTGTCACGGTGATGAAGCAAGTGATTTGATCGGAACATTAAAAGCTTTCAATGATAAGGCCAAACCGGAAACGAAGCCGAGCTTTGAACAAAGGCCGTCATGTTTAATTTTAGCCATGGTGGCTACCTGACCTACAATATCCACTCCGTTCACAAGTACCCCCTCACCTTCGCTCGTACCCCCGCCCTGCAAACAGGACGGGGGGTACGAGCGAACGCCTCACCGGCAAAGAAAGTACAGTTGGGGATGACCGACCGACGCTATCTTGCCTGACTGCAATTCATTTGCCACTGCGTGTACAATGTATAAATCCCCTGGTGTAAGTGCGTCACACATAAGGAACGGTGTGCGCCAACCAGCGAAATTTCCCGCCCATGGGACGTCGTTGCTAGGTAAAAGGGCGCCCTCTTTTGTCGGCGCAAGGAGCCCATAGACGTCAGACTATTCTTATCATTACCTAACTTAAAGGTTGCAGACTTCAGTGATTATTACGCGCACTTCCCAAAATTATCACAAAAATACTCACAACTCTCCAAGGTGTTCGAGATTTTCTGTTCATTTTTTCTATGGGGGGCTGGGTTAACCAATGACTTTTCGATCCAAAGATGATCACCCCTTAAAGTAGTCCTGAAGGCCATCGGCATTTTGAAAGGGGTACCTATCGTGATTTGGCCGGCGTAGGCAATTTCGGGTCTATTTACTCGCCTGCACCCCAAGGTATTGGATGACTCTCGGTGCCGTTTTCAAGTCAACAAGTTTGTTGAGAAAATATACCGAAAGTGCACGTGTAAAGCACAGTCCGAATAACATGGATTTATATCGCTGTTTGGTTTAATTGCGTCTTTTACAGAGTCACGCCAAGTCATAATTATGAGATTTGCAAGTTTACGATTCTGATTGTGTTTTAAAGTGATTATACCGTAACAAAAACCGTAATGTGTTAACGGTAAATAAAAGGAAAATCATAGCAAATAGTAAATGAAAGTCTGTCCCATGAGTGCATGACTGATTACAGGTTGTAACTGGTTGTGTGAGAAATCCTATAATAGGGGAAAACGCGACGTGTGGTCGTCGAGTTGGTCTTCCATCTACTTGTGCAAACGCACTTTTAATTAGTGGGTCCTAGACTAGTTTGATATTCAAACAAGGTAATTTGTCTCTACGACGGAGGAAATAAAAATCAATTCAATGAAAGGAAATTAACGCAACCAAATTGCCCAAGGGTGCCACCCGTTGCCGTGCTATGGGAGAACGATGCAAATAACCGTTAAAAACCTCCATGTCAGCTAATTAACTCCGAGTTGCTGGTGGTTCGGATCAATGAAATCGCCGCTAATCGACAGAGTATACGACAAGACATTTTGCTTGAGACCAAAGACTCGAGTCTAGGGGGTTGCCATTAGCTGTCTTGAGATTCTTTTGACCGACCAACCATCGAGATGAATTCCAACATCCGAACCGTGAGTAGCCTTCAGCTTGTTTTTTTCTCACCAATAACGAGTTTGTATGGAAATTACATCTTTTGATTTATGAGTCGTAAACCTATAGGAATGTTCCAGTGATCTACCAACAAATGGACTGTTGTCTTATTCAGACCATTTGCGGCTTGAAAGTCGAGAGACGTATTAAGACAGGATTGACAATTTACGTCTTGAACATTATGAAGATTTTTCCCCAAGCGTCTTAATGATACCTCAAAACCAGTTCAATTTTTACTCATTAACGTGACTCTCACTCCGCAAAGTTCTACACACGTAAAAATCATGTTAAATATTCCAAGGTTTTACAACAGAACAAGTTTGCCACCTGCCCTATAATTCTTACACCCTCCTCCTTTGTCCCGGGCGAAAACCCCCAACCAACCACCAGTATTACCATTGATCGGTTCCCCCAAGGTGTTGGGCGTGTCAGTATCCTACCGTTGAATTCGTCACTGATGCGGTAACCTTTTTGTGTGTATATGCAGATAATACTCCTGATTGAATTGCTGGGACTAGCCGATACTGATAGGGTACACTCCACCACACACACGTACGGTAAGAATATAAACCTATTTTGAAGGGAGGTGGGGAGGGGGAGAAGAAATCGGCACTTTGACCCAAAATCGTGTTAGAAAACTCTCCCAGACAGTGACAATTCCTCGGCGAATAGGAACAATGTCTTGCTCTAGGAACCCGTGGCATGTCATCCTCTGATTTGCTGAATCCCACATTTTCAGAGATTTCTTTACCTCCTTCAGCCATCGCAATATACCAAGAACGATTTGAAAAAGAGGGGTAACACCCCCACCCTCCCAATAACCCTACACCCTATATCACGTCTCCCTAGATATCGCAGCAGAATTCAAGAATTTCGGAAAGAGAATGACCAACACAAAAGAGGGGGTGGGTCCCCTGTATCGCATATCTTGCTTCAAATGTATCGGAAACTGTTGCACTTTTGGTATTTAACTTGTAAATTGAAATCCAGTGGGCTTTGTATTATTTTGTAGATCAATGAGGTTCCACTCGTCACACGTTAATTATGAAACCACGTTGGTATCTTACTGCTAGTTAGAATATAACAGCATATCTGGAATTCCCATAGTCTTGCACTAAGGATAAGTTCCTGATACACGATATGAATCGAAAACTCCTGAAAAGAAGGACATTTTTTTAAAAGTACGTGGAAGCACATACCATAATGCAAAGCCCAATGGCCAATACAAACACAAATGGGGCCCATTATCACTTTTAATTTGAAACATTTTAATTTGAAAGCTTTTCGTTTGTGTTTGGCGTTGTTTTATAACATACGTCGGGGACGGGTTGAAAAAATGTATATTGCTTTAATGTTCGTCCTTTTTTTCCTTCGTCTGCATGATAGACTTTTAGATATGAATGGAAGAATTGTTGGACTTGTTAAATTTTATTTTTAAATTGTTTTAACCTGAAAATAAAAATAAAAGATATAACCAACGACAGATATTGCAATGCGATCGACGCACATTAACCTTTTGCGTACATTTGTTATTGTATTTGCCTGAAGCGAGAATCGTCAAATCACATGGAATGTGTGATTCAGAAAGGAATCAAATTATCAGGAACTTTAGGGTTTTTGTGGTCAAAACGTCGTTGCATCATCAAGAACCTGAGATTTTTCTTCCAGAGTTTACAGTTTGCCCTGGCGGTTTTCAATCCTTCGAGTCGTCGTGCTACCGTCTGGTTTCCGACTCGCCGACTGATGGGTACACAGCACGCACTGAGTGCCAACAGTTGGCAAGTGACAGTCACCTGGCGTTTATCCAGAGCCAGTCTGAAATGACATTCCTCCAGGTACGATATCATATAATATATTTGTTTCCGTTTCATAACTGGAAACAAGGGAACAAAATCGAAAGCAAGCTTAATCAGAATGATATACCTCTTGTAAAATGCGTCCCCTGTCCGCTAAATACCTGTAAATGACTTTGTTTGTCAATCGACCATTGCTAAAAGCCTTCCAGCTAGAATTTGAGCATTTTTAATGTTAATTAACGGTTTTCTGCGCCAGAAAAGACGATTCGACAAAAAAAGGATAATATTAAGTAGTTTGGTTTCATTTCCGGATTGTAAATTCTGGTACTTGGGCTCTGTGGCGTTACTGGGATCCAATTCGCAGTTGGACACTAATTTTATGGGGCCTCGCGTTCCGGAGAGGGGCACTCAGTGCATTGTTCCTGCATTTAAAAACTCATTAGCTTGACATTTTATAAAACAATTTTGGACTTGTATTCTTTCCTGTTTCGACTAAACAGGGTCTTGCAATTTCACAAGGGGTGGATGAGGATTATTGGTTCGGTCTGACGTACACCAACGATACGGACCATCCTCACTGGTTGGACGGCAGCCTGCTCGGCAACTTCACGGCCTGGGACCGTTACGGGGCCTTCAACAACGCCCGTCAGTGCGTCCGACTCAGGAGGGATGACAATTATCTCTGGAACGATAGGTACTGTAGCACCCAGTTCGGCTACATCTGCGAGGTCGAGAGTAAGTCCTTTAACACGAGAATATTTCCATGAGGCTCTCAGCTCAATTTCAATATTTTTCTCCGAGTAACAGTCTACTTTTTTTAGTCAGAAAGACAGTGGTCAGCCACCTGAACCAATCCCCAAATCCACCCTTAGATCGAACTTATTCCGAGATCGACTACCGTAGTGTTGTTTACAAGAAAACAGGAATCATGCTGGGAAGACCGGCACATGAAATACATTATCAAAGCCGAGTAGTTAATATTTTGCTGGTATATTCTTTGTTGGTAAAATTGGGTTTCTTTAAGAGTTAACGCATTACCGCACATTTGCAACATTCAGTCGGGCATTCAGTCACCGTGTGTTTTATGCCACTCCACACGGTGGAAGCGAGCGATGAATAATCGAAGGTTTTTAGGACTGATATAGAAGCGCCTACCCATCCATCCTGTAATAAGGCGAATGCCGGGAGACTATGGGACAAAGCTACGAGCTTGTACTATGAGAATTAATTGCTTTTTTTAACAGTTGCAAGTACGCAGTACACGTTTGTGACGGAGCATTTATCTTGGAGCGAGGCGAGGGACGCCTGTGCTTCGGCGGACGGTCACCTGGCCATCATCAACTCGGAGCAAGAGAGCCTGGGCTTGCAAGCTGCCACCTCCTCACTCTCTATCCCGTCCAGCCGCTACTGGGTCGGACTGGTCACTGCCATCGGTGGCACCGTGGCCTGGCTGGACGGGACGGTGCTGACTTTTTCACCGGACAACTTTGAAGTCGATGATGACTACGAGTGTTACACCATGAACCTTGGGAGCGGAGATTGGAGAGGGTGGGATTGTACGAAGACCACGAATTATATTTGTGAAGGTATGTTAACTCGTAGTTAATTGTCGTGAAATGACTGTGTAAACAGTGGCGGTTCTGGGGGGGGGGCTGGGGGGCTTAAAAAAAATTGTCTAGCCCACCCCCCAAAAAAAAAATCTATAAAAAAATGCACTAGCAAAATTTAAGAATGTGGCGTACATGCGAACGGTCTCCCCCTAAATAAATAGTCGTGAGAAGGGTGCATTTGTACACTTTTATATGCCTTGTAGGATTTTATCGGCGCTCCCAATTAAATATATGGCACGAGCCATGGTCATTTTTGAAGAGCGCCCCCATTTGGAAGGTGGCTACATGTACCTACATGTAGCCACATGTAGCCAAAACCTAAATAGAACCCCAAACCTTGTACCTAATTATAGCCCTTGAGCCCTGTACTCAAGGATAGCCCGAACCCTGTACCTTTATGTAATCCCAACCATATGTACATTGGGGTTTTTTACCTTTAGTTGTGGACCTCCATTAAAAAAAAAAAAGGTAACAAAAAATCGGACATCCATCTTTTGTTTCCTTAGCGTCATCGAGTACCTTACTGACGGTAACCGTTCAGAACATGGAAACACTACAGACGTCCGTTACCATGACCGACACACCATGGGGAACGTTCGACCCCACCACCGAGCCAGAGGGCGTGGCCGACCCAATCACCACACCTGTGGGTTCGGTCGACCCCACAACTACACCAGAATACGTGACCACTGACTCCACCACCACACGGGAGGACAATATTAACCCCACCACCACAGTGGAGGGTTTGGTCGACCAAACTAACACACCCAGGATCATGGTCGACCCCAAAAACACAACAGTGGGCGCAGTCGATCCAACTACCAAACCAGAAGACTTTGTCGACCCAACCACCAAACCAAAGGGCGTGGTCGACCCAACCACCAAATCAGAGGGCGTGGTCGACATAACCACCACACCAGAGGGCGTGGCCGACCCAACCATCACACCTGTAGGCTCGGCCTACCCCACAACTACACCAGGAGACGTGGCCACTGACTCCACCACCACACGGGAGGACAATATCAACCCCACCAGTACCACCACACTGGAGGGTATGGTCAACCCAACTAACACACCCGAGATCTTGGTCGACCCTACAAACACACCAGCGGGCGCAGTCGACACCACCAATTCACCAGAGGCCGTAGTCGACACCACCACCACACCAGATGACGTGCTGAATTATTACCCCGTAACCACACCCTTTGGTGACTTTGACCCGGACATTATCGACTCTGACGATACACCAGAAGATCAAACCGTTTTCGCCGGTACTGGCCTCTCTGAAAGTCTGACCACCAATCACTATCGAAGTCTGGCACCGCTCACTACCGAAGGGGATTATAAATTGACGGCCACGACTCCGGTTGACGAGTGCGCATCCAGTTCCCTAACCTGTCGGTATAGGTCCCAGACTTATTACCTTCACGCCAATGCCAAGACGCTGCCGGATCACCTAACTCTGCAGACAGTTAAGGGCATCAGGTCCGATCTCCGTTGCGCGGGCGCGTGTCTCGCACAGGATCGTTGTCGGTGCTTTGTTGTCTTCTCGAACAACGACTGTTTGCTGTCTGCGGCGGGGACGGACGAAATCGGATTGTTGTCTCATGATTCTGCTAAAATTTATTGCATGGGGAACAACTAGAAGTGTAGCTGTAAAATTAATTACAGTACTGTAAGTATTCCGTCCACATCTTTCAATTCACTCCATTCTTGCTCGATGTTAGGGTTCATAGTGAGGGTTAAGTTCATTAAACTCAAGGGACTGTTCATACCAATTCCATTGTTGTAGATCTCTGAAAATACAGCAAATTTATTATTTTACATTGATTTTTACACAAAATTAGCTACTAATCAACTTGTTGCAGTTGTAAGTCTACATGAAAATCGTTTCATATAATATAATTTCAAAACAGATGTTTCTAATCAATTTGAAGTTATTGAAAAACACCAATATACGAGCCACAATAAACCTACAAACTGAAAAACACGGAGACACATTTTCCAGAGGATTCAGAGGTTCTCAGATATTTTTCTTTGCAAACTATTGGGGATCCTTTTTGAATATCATTACCGCATTAATTCGCCTAAATCCAAACTCCTGAAACACTTTCGTTTTTTAATCTTCGATCATTTTTTGGGGATCGTAGTAAGAAGTGTGTGTTAAAGTAAAAGTAATCAATGTAAATTCTAATTGAACTGGGTGAACTATTTTGGAAAACTTTTTTGGTGTGTAGCCTAGCTGTAACAATTTTAAAGAAATGTTAATCATAATATTGTTGGGATTATCAAAGGTTTGAGAATTAATGAAGTTCCCAGTGTGTTCGTGAATGAAAGGAAATCTCCGTTTGGCGAGCTCGATCACCCTACAAGTCTAAATGTCGGGCCAGGATGCACCAACGACTGTTTTGTTTCTACGATTGTCCGTGCGCGCTAGAGCTTGCAGCCACCGTGCGGCTTGTATTCCACGAATCAGTCTTTGGTGACATTTTTGATGACGTCATTATTACGTCACATATTTGTCACTTGTTTGTGCACACATCTACGACATAAACCCATTACAAAAAGGATTTTGAATTTAGCAGTCCTGCGTTCGTGAGATGTGGCCATAATCTAAACTTCACAAATCCATATAAAATCACATCGTGATGTCATCTAGATGTCACCTAATGTTTTTACCTATAACTCATCCATGTCTACATAAATACCAAGTTAACACCAAATTGGACTTGTAGTTCAGTAGATATAGGACTTATGCACCAAGTTTAGGATGACGTCACCTTTAAGATAACGTCGTTCATCCTCTTTGGTTCTGGTCTTTAATTTGGCCAAGTTTCATTCAGGCTTAAGCTTTAGAAGTGACTAAAGTGGCTTAAAAAAAACGTGTGCAACGTCTATGGGATTTGAAATAGAACAAGAAAAAAAATGAAGACGAAAAACAAAAAGAAAAAAAATCAGCACAAAAACAACGGCTTTTCCGCAAAAAGAAGTAGACAAAATCTTAACAAAAACAAAGGCTTTTCCGCAAGCGGAGAGGCCAATCATTTGTTTTATGCTCAGTTAACTTTTGACCTACACATGCAGGTCGTGATTGGTTGTCATGCCGGCGATGAGGTCAGTGCAATTTCGGTAATTAGCGCGGCATGCATGGTTCATTTGAGGGTCTCTCAGAATCTTTTGCGAGCTCGATTCTGTTCAGCGTTTACCGCTCCATTCCCGCTTCATGGTTTTTACATGGCTGAGACCTGCAGGCTCCAGCGAAGTAGACATCCGCAGACAGGCAGCATATTAACGACGTGCACGTTTCCATAAATGTCACAATTACACAAAAAGCCATCGAAGTTGAGAACATTAGCAATCAGAAGTCATCAGAAACATAGCGGAAATGTGACTAGTCAGACCGCGTAGTCATTCGATCCGTCCGTTAAAAAATCGATCAACCATGGCAATATAATTGCGATGGAACATTGGTAGCCAAAAGTCAATAAAATATTTTAAGCCTGGTTGATACTTCATGCGAAAGCGAAAGCGAAGCGAAATTCGTGACGTCAACAGTACGTTCGAAGCGCGTCCACCATTGTTGACGACATGAATTTTGCTTCGCACTTGCTTTCGCGTGAAGTATGAACCGGGCTTTAGAAAGTTGGTACATATTGAAAAGCAAATGGATTTCTCTTCCTCGGGATGAATTTTTTATGCTTGCATTACGCGCGTTCTGCGTATTAATTTACATAACAAAGAGTCTGTTGGGCGCTCAACTCCCAGCGGCTTGCATCCAATTTGCAACTCGGCTTGCATCGAATTAGCCAACGCGCTTGTAATTACGTTCAAAATTAGTGTCGGCAATTTACGATCTTTTAGGAGAACTCTGTCTTCGCTCATTAACAATGCAGTTCAGTATGTACAGTGTTTCAACCTAGCTACACTAGTTACCGCTCTTCGGTAGTAAGCTACGACAGGTGGAACAGACAGTATATGCTCCAGTTTGCAACATGCACAACCTCCTTGTAATTGGTTTAAAGGTAAGATGCAATTTGAAGTTTTAATTTACTTAGGCCCTTACTCCTGTTGACTGTGTAAATGCCAACTGCGGATGTCAACCAAACAGATGTTTGTTTCCGTTTTACTTTAATTCATTCCTGTCATGAATGTGCACATGCATCGCAGTATGAAGATTCCGAGAGAGAGCATGCAGACAATGAAACAAAAAGTTTGAAATGTGAGAGGAAAATATTGGAATGATATATTTGGGGGAACGGAATTGGGAGAAATATAAAGACCTGTTTCGCTCGTTGGCCTGGATAGGATTTGCATTCGTAGGGTCGGAAGGCGTGAAAAAGTGACACTGTACCAACCTAACTTGTTGAGAAACGGGGATAGATTGACACCGTATTCAATTCTCATTATTAACGGCACATACAATGTTATTTGTTTTAATGATATCCTTGAAAATGCACATTTGTGTCACATTTAACCTTATATTTTCGATTTAATTGTGCCTTTTTGAATTTATTTTGGTGTATTTTTGGGGTTTTTTATGCTAATGCAAATGTCCATATTCATGAGCAAAAGTGTGATGTCATTTCAGGCAGAAACCCCAATGTTACAGCTATTTAAAGCACACCCACAGTTGCCAGAATTTTGGATATTTTGCTGTTGTAAATTTTCTTTTTTTTGGTGATTCGTTGTTGTGTCAGTACAGTAAGCCTGTGACCAAACCTTTCTCACAAATGTTTTTTTTTTTCAATGAACAAAATTTGGGTTCTCAATATGAACGGAAAATCCCTAAACTGAAAATTACATCACAGCAACAGCGCTCTCAGTTTTCCGGAAAAAGCATGAAAAAAATAATATGTTTAAGGGGCCATTCAAAATTTTCAATGTTTTAAAATTTGCATTTTTTTCCAAATTTGTTTGACCAACCCACCCATCCCTATTTTTGATTTAGACAAATTGATTTGTTATGCAGTATTAAACATCCAAATACATGTACACATGCACTTGCATGCATACTTTTACTTTTACAAGTACATGTAAGACCATGCCCATGTATGTCCAGCAGTGTTGACCGGTCTCGGTCTCGGTCTCGAGACCACTTTTTGCCGGTCTCGGTCTCGGTCTCGGGAGCTGTGGTCTCGGTCTTGGTCTCGGTCTCGGTCCCCTTTGGTCTCGATATTTTGGCTGGTGTCGAGTCGAGACCAGCCAAAAAGTGAGGGGGCGGATTCTGCCCCGGCCCTTTTAGGGTTAAGTAAAGAATCAGTTTAGGGCAAATGTGACTGCAGTCTGTGTGATGCTAATGGACATGTCTCTCTTCACTTTCTAGTGAGTGAGGCATAGTCCAATAACCATTGCTCCTCTTCTTATTTCTCGTTTTTATTGTGGGATGATCTGTTGAAACAAGCACTTTATAGCCATCCTCATTGATTCCAAATACAACCGAGATTTAAATCTTATGAATCAATACTGAAACATTATTTTTACCGTCAGATTTTGTATTTTGAATATGGGGAATAATTCAACTCTTTTTTCCTAGAAATATTGGTGATTTTTTTTCTATTTTCCTTTTCAATTTTTCCTCTATTCGTGGAGGCGGGAAAACGTTTTTTTTCATCATATTTATTAATGGATATTCATCGATTCGTAGACCGTTAAATTGGTATTAGTGGTGGACAGCTGAATTTTGTGATCTCTTTATTAAAATAGACACGACTTGGGAATAGAGTATGCAAATTACGTGAAATGTTCACAGTTATTACTCAATAACATGTTCTTTATCCCAATTATATTTTTTACAAAATGGAGCGTGTTTTATCATACGGTCACTTTCTTTTTGACTCGCCATGTATTCATCTTTTCATCTGTGATAAACACAAATTGAGCTACTGCCATGGTCACACAAAAATAGAGTCTAATTGTCTGCCTCGTCTCCTTCCTAAATGTCAATTGCATTTGCATGAGTCGAGAAGAATTGTGTTCCATTAATTGCTATATGCTGTTTACGGCCATCACAATAAACTATTAATATATTGGCAATATGTCGTACTTGTTATTCACTAAAATATTTAAGTAATATAAAAATATTTTTAAAAAGGGGTAAAAATATATGGAGTTCATCAAATAAGGTTTTCCCCTTCTTTAAATTAGGTTGTTTCCAATTTTTTGAATTGATTGTGACAATGACAGATTCTGTTGCCATGTTGTACTTTATGGCATGAAGCAAACCCGAAGAGCACTCGCATGACACAATTAAGCAGGTACAAGTGATTCCTAACTTTCAATAACTTCATTCACATCCCCATGAACATCAACATCTCAAGGACAGACTGTTCAGCTGTAATTAGTGTCTTGTTGTTTATTTAGATTATTGTTATTTATTTATTAATACAAATTATCCGCGGTCTCGGTCTCGGTCTCGGTCTCGGACCATTTCGGTCTCAGTCTCGGTCCGCCTCGAAGGGGCTGGTCTCGGTCTCAGTCTCGGTCTCGCAACTTCGGGTCTCGGTCTTGGTCTCGGTCTCGGACTATCCGGTCTCGACTACAGCACTGGTGTCCAGTGTACTTTTCAATAAACTTAACCAGAAAAGGATGTCAAGTAGTTTTCATACATTTAAGAGGAGTGGAAAGTTGCACAAGCTGTGTTCCTAAGAAAAACAAATCATCTCATGGACAAAACAAAACATCAGATTTCACATGAATATAATGCCACTTTTATGACTTAATAGTGGTATCCGATAGTTTTGTTTTCAGGACCAATAAATTCCTCATTTTGTCATATTTTTCAAATTTCAGGTGGTGTTCCTGGTCGTCTTGGGCTTTCATGTTGTCCTCTGCCGCGGAGGTAGGTGTAACCTTCGTGAACGCATTTTGAGATTTCCACAAAACGCAAAAGTGTGGATTTTAAAACGTTAAAGTTATCGTCAAACGGCGTTCAGCTTCTCCCCGTCCGCTTCCCAAGGAAAGCTTAAGAAAATTTCCAGATTATTTCTCGATGATGATAAACTAATATTCTCATTAAGAAATTATGTGCCGGTCAGAAACAAGGAAGTTATTAAAAGTTATGTCCTGTAAGAGGAACACTCGAATGGTTACTTGTTTAATGCTCGGTGGAGTATTTGCTCGTAATAATAATTTGCTGTGCGAGCAGTACGTGAAAATGGTGTCGTTAGGTTCTGAGATCAGTGCTTAAAGGGTCGTGCAATGTTAGTTTTGTTAATGCTATCGTTGAAAATGCACCTTTGTGTCCCAATAAACCTTATTTTCAATTTTCGTTTTGCCATTTCAAGGGTATTTTGGTGCCTTTTGGTTTTTATGCTAATGCACATTTCTATACTCATGGCAAGACTGTGATGCCATTCCGAGCAGAAACCTCAATATTACAGCTATTTCAGCACAAAGAAAGTTGCTAGAATTTGTGATATTTTCCTGTCATAAAGTTTTTTTTCCTTTGGTGTTTCGTTGTTGCGTATAAGCACATGGCAGTAACGTAAGCCAATGAGCAGCCCTTTTTCAATTAGCACATTTTGGGCTCACAAATTGAACAGAAAACCCCTAAACTCAACACTCAGTGTCTTCCTGAAATGACATCATAGCAACAGCGCCCCTCAGTTGTCTGGAAAAGCAGGGACAATTTTAAATGTTGAAAAAATGTTGAAAGAAGTGCACTTTTCAATAAAATTAACGAAAAAGGGATGTCAAATAGTTATCATACATTTAAGAGGAGTAGAAAGTTGCACAAACTGTGTTCCTATATAATTTTTACATCAACGTCTACTAAACTGCGCATCATCTACAAGCAATGAGCCAAGACCCATCCAATAGTTTTATAAGTAACTTTTTTTGGTCCCTCAGGGTGCCCAGACGGTTTCACCTACTTCGAGTATTCGTGTTACAAGATCCACGTTTCGCCTGAGCTGGACTGGCCCGGCGCAAGAGACGCATGCGCAGCCGGCTCCAACGGCAGCCATCTTGTCTACATTCATAGCGAGGCCGAGCAGTCTTTCCTCCGTGGCCTGGCTCTCGAAGCGTCGGCGGGGAGTGGGGTCCACCTCTGGATCGGTGTGACTGCGGCCGTGAACGGCAGTCTCGAGTGGCTGGACGGTAGCCGCCTGACGTACACGGCGTGGGATGAGGATGGGCCTAGAGCAAACGGCAGGGACTGTGTGCGCCTCAGACCGGATAAGGATTACCTTTGGAACGACAGGTTCTGCTATATCATGTACGGTTACATATGTGAACAAGCAAGTGAGTTATAAATCAGTGACTTTTCATTAGAATATTCCCTAATTTCTGACGTTGTATCAGAAAATTCCTCTGTTTTGAATTGCGAGTTTGCGTATAGACCCGGCTTAGATGTACCGCCTCAACGGTGATAATAGAATGGAGAGAGAAAGATTGATGGACACGTAAGCAACATTGCCATGCGAAAATTAGATCTTTGCTTACTCTGAGCTTCCAAAGTCAACTTTCCATATTTGCCTTTTCAGTCCATTCGTTTATTGCACCTGTCGGCCTGTTGCAACGGACATTAAAACCATAAAACCGACTAAAATCGTTTGGGGGGGGGGGGGGGGGCGGTTTTCCCACGCGAACCAGCATATCGACATATCCAAAGTTCCAGCTCGGTAAATTTTGAATGGTAGACAAGTTACATCTGCAATTCTCTCGCGACTGTGTGAAAAAAAATCGAAAGAACTTGTCATGCTGGCAAACAAAATGCCCGGACTGGTAATGTAATATCTAAACGTCGGTAGATATTTTTTGGTTCAATGTCTCATTCAAGTAACTAACGTTTATGTTATATAATGATATTTATAACCTTTGAAGAACGGATATATTTTGTTTTAGAAAATGACTTTTATAAAATCAATTTTATCATAGAATTGTTGGTAATTTCCACGCAATAATAATGAGTACGGGGTAAGGCTTCTGCCAATGTTACCCAGGGTGCCAATGTTACCCAGGGTGCCAAAGTGACCATGGGGGCTAAAGTTACCCAGGGTGCCAAAGTTACCCAGGGTGCCAAAGTTACTCCAGTTTACGGTGCATCCTTAAGTAAAATACCCATTGGAATGAATGAGATGAATGAAGTATAGATTGATTCTTTTCTTGGTTCTCTGTTTGTTTGTCAAAGGTTCCTCATGTCATGCAACCTCCACTGATTTCACCAGACCAACGTCGGTCGGTATGGCAGCCACCTCAGATGAGTACCTCATCAGGAGTACCATGACGTCATCCCTGTCGCGTTGCTCCCACGTGTGTTCAAAGAACGAAGATTGTAAGAGCTTCAACTACGACGTGGCGTCGGCTCCGGGCAAGCGCACTTGCGAGTTATTTTCGGCCGTCTTTGAAGACAGCGAGATGGAGGCACGTCCAGGTTTTGCTTATTATAAACCCAATTGAGATTCAGTTCCAAAAATAATAAAAAGCAATAAAGCTCATCTATATAATTTCTCATTCATGTGAACCCTTTGGGCAGCTGGATTAGTACAGGGTGGTGCAAAAAGAAGGAAACCCACTTTTGAAAGGAATTTTAACCTACTTACACATGTACTTAAATTACTTGAACTAGGTTTTTTATATTGTAGTGAAGTGAAGCTCTTCCACCATACGTGGTGAAAAAAAATCTTTTAAAAAATCGCAAGAATGTTGTTTTTATGCTGATTTGAGTACAAGTTGTCCACGTGTAAGTCTAGTGTAGTGTTTTTGTCTTCAAATCAAGCTCCGGAGCTCAGTCAAGCGGATGGAATAAAGCCGTCCGTGGACAAACAGGTTAGGCACATGAAAATTTTAAACTACGGTCTCAGAGACAAGATATGCATTTGCAATCATTTATTCGTCATTTATGTTTAAAGATCAATATTTTAAAACCATTTAATTGAATTTTTGAAATATGCTCAACAAGTAGGTGGAAATTACTGTCAAAAATGGGTTTCCTTCTCGTTGAACCACCCTGTAGTTTCATGAAAGTTACTATTTTAGGTAGGTGGTGTCCTACGATAAAGATAGCACTATTTTCTGGCTATGACGTTTATAATAATGATATATTTCGAGAAATTGAAGGAGTCTTGTTTTGCGACATATAGCCCACAGTACTACCGCAATAGACATTACGCAATTATTTATAACATGATTTGCATGAATAATTACCACTGTGCGATTGTCATCCTTTGAGTATAACAAAGTGGCTATGGTACGCCATGTAGAACACGTTGTATATACGCATATTATTAAATTACCAACCGCAGGCGTTGTTCTACTCATGTCATTGATTAGTGTTTCCGTTTCGTATGACTGGTCGTCACATCAGCGCAGCAAACATTAATGGAGCAATATGATTCTCATACAAAACAATCACATTCAAACTGTGAACTAAGCACACGATTCCAGTTGCATAATTCCAGCACTTTCAAATATCAGTTGAAATTAATGGACGTCAAAACGCACAACAAAATCTTTTTCTTTAGATCTTTATATTTAGGGAATAATTACGTTATTCTCCTTGTGTACATATTCAGGAGAAATTAACAGAGAGACACTCGTAAGGAAAGTATTCGAAATGTAGGAACACACACAAAGAATACATTTCTCTTCATTTCTGAGGGTTTTTTTTCCAGCATAATGTATACTTCTAACGTGTTTCATAATGCCAACACAATCAATGTATCGACCAGCTTTTGTCGTCAAGATTAATTAAGAGTGCCAGCCAGCTGCTGGTTGGGATGTAGGCCGATACCGGCTTTTATCGAACACTCTCGCTGTTTCATTATTGCGGATATTCCTGATGAGGATTTTTCACACCGTGTGGTTGCGCGGGTTTCATTTTAACACCGTGGCGGTCAATAAAAGCCGGTCTGCCGTCAGGGGCACTGTCCCCGGTAGACCGACTCGGTTTAACCAAGTCATTGAGATGCCCAAGAAAGATCATGGTTAAACAGAAAATCGGCAGTTTTGACGATGAACATTAATAGGAAAACAATGCAATCTTGCGATGTGAAGTGGATGAACGACGCACACCGTATAGGAACATTCACATCGATTTCAATCAAGAGAAATTTGTGTAGGCCTATCTCTCTTTTATTTTTAACTTGGCCACCGGAAGCCACTGAGCACAACAATAATTTTACCACAAACAAATGCACGAAAAGTCAATCGAGTATTGCAAGAGAAAAACAAGATATTAAAGTATAAACCTTAAAACCCTTAGTTCCATATGCATTAAAGTTACAATTTATACAGACATGGAATAAACTAAGTTGCCAGCTCTCCTAATAAAGGGGAATGATAAAGGTGAAGTACTTTTGAGCTTTAAAAAGGCCATGGGTGCAAGTACCCCTCGAAAGAGAGAGGGACGAATTAATTTTGCAGGATATCTCTTGGTATGCAGAGATATAGATTCACGTGCCGCGCACGCAAAAAAGCGATGCAAGAAACTCCCACTTCTGGACTGGCTCCCATCCTTTCTTGCGTAATCCAGAATATAGATAGGGCCATGATGTTATGCCAACTTTTTCTCTTGCGCAATCTCAAAAAGAAGGAAAATTGAAGAACAATTGTCCATCCCCCATCCTACATTTTCTCGCGGAGTCCGCGGGTCTTTATTTTTCAGGCAGGCTGCTCAAGCTTGCAAAGAAAATACGCTGCCTCTCATCTCCGACAATAACATTCTATCTCGCTAGCTTGAAAGCATTAAGAGGAACAGGGACGGGTTCAAACTATAAACTATTTCCCCCCCCCCCCCAAAAAAAGGAAATCGACAACCCCACCCAAATCACAAATTTGGCAGATTCTGCATTTATTTCCCCTTCCTGCCACGGTCATCCGCATTTAATGACCGTTTCAATGGGCATCCAAGGGGGGGGGGGGCTCCCCCTACAAGGACAAACATAAACAAAAGGGGGAAGAGAAAGAGGCGCGAAATATGTTAATTTAATGGGTTGAGGGGGGAATGACCCTGCCCACCTTCGAAAAAAAAAAGATAAATCGAGAATATGCTGAAAAAGTACAGGGATTTCGGGGGGAGGGGGAATGTGATTTGCCCCCCCCCCCCCCCCTCTAGAAAAAAAACCCTGGCGACACCCATGACCCTTTCTACACTCGGTAATTTTTGTAACCTCTCCTCTCCACGAGTTCCTCATCGGAAAACTGCCTGGCCAACAACTCGCAGAACCTGAGCAGCTCACCGAGAGCAGCTCCCTGGGACTGGGACTGGTCGAGCTGGTAGTTGAAACCCGCGCAGGCGTTGTGTTCAAGGCAGTACTGGGCGCAGCGGATCAGGGAGCGGGTCTTGACACTGCGCAGCAGATGGTTGTCAACGGGCGCCGCCATGTTGGCTGGGCCAGACTTGAATCCAACGGCTTTTACAGTGGGCGTTGGTGGCGCTGCTGGAGGACGTAAAATAAAATGTGATTTTTAGAGACAAACCACGAGCAACTAATTTCTTTAAGCAAACTTTATTTATCGGTTGGGTAAAGTTGGTCACAATTATTACTCTGCCTAGGGAAAATACTGGAAAAGTACCTGTCCGATTTTTGCTTGTAAATTGTGAAAAAATTTACCAAAACAATCGTCTTCCCATGGTGGTCATGATGGTCTGCTCAACACACAAAGTGACGTCACGAACAATTTCTTGGTCAGGCGTTTTCTCGGTGCACTGGAAACATGTTTCACGTCATGACTGTGACGTCAGAAACATGTTCCAGGTCAAAGGTCACCAAAACGCGGCCCAAGTTAGTCCGAGACCAGCTTTACTATGGGCTCCGTGCGCAAACACGAGAGGGCGCTTTTTACCACATTTTGGGGCCCCGTGGCATAGACTTTGACCCTTTTTGGAGGAATTCGCCAATTACAAGTGGGCAGGCTATAAGCCATTCGTCCATGTTACTTACCGGCCTTTGGAGAAGGTGTCGTCAGAGGAATGACGTCATCGGTACTCCCTGTTGGAAAAATGCAAAATGAAAAACTTTGAGGTTTTCGAACATTAAAAATGTATGCATATTGCTCGCAAACGTGGCTTGTGTTACGAACGGAAAAGCAGGCCAAATCGCATATTTTATTCAGAAAGTGTTATGACAGATTAGTTTTCAACCAACTATCTGGAATTGAAGTCGGATCCGAATCAGCAAGTTGACCACAGAGAGCTTGGTTGTCGAGTGGCTGATAATTTGCACAATACTGATACTTCTGGCAATGGATGCTCAGTTTCCAGAGAGTGGACACAGTATTAATTGTTTGGTTATAGTTAAACACAGTACAAAACAATTGTTTCCTTTTCCAACTCAATTTTGAGCGGGGGGAGGCGCGAAGGGGAGGGTCGTGTACAGGCCTGGGGGGGGGGGGGGGGGGCGTGCCTACCACCCTCCCTCCTGCCCTAGTTACGCCACTGGTCGCTTCTATTGAAAAATCCTCTAATGGCTACTTAAGTATATGAAAACTCACTCTCAACTTCGCAGATGTATCCAAACATCAAGTCGCAACGCCTATCGTTCCAGAGATACTCGCTGCGTCTCCGGAGCCGAACGCAGGGCGAGTGTTCGTCGAAGACCCCGAAATAATCCCAGGCCGTGAAGTTGCCGAGCGGGCTGCCGTCTAGCCAGTGAGGATGGTCCTCATCGTTGGTGTGCGTCAGACCGAACCAATAGTCCTGATCCACCCCTCGTCCTTTTGCCAGATCCTAAATAGTTGAAATCAAAATCAGTCCCAAATGATATATGAACTCCCAAGAAATCTGTTTTCTGTTACTTTATGTGAAATGTAAACCCCTCACACGTGACCTGCCACTGTCTTAATTATTTTCGCAACCAATATCCGTATTTCATACAGGGTGAGTAAAAAAAAAACGAAAGCCAAATGTCGGGGCTATTGTTTTATTGAAGTTCTACATGTAGCACTTTCAAAATCTAGGATATGAAAGCCCAATTCATGTTTTCGTACAACAATCATTCAAATCACTAATGTACTTATCAAGTTACGGAATTTTAAACACAACCATCGTTTTAAGGTTCTGTCCACGGATCACAAAAAAGGTGGACGTTCTTTCAGCAAAACGAAAACAATTCACACACATCCCTATGTGATTTGTTTTCGGTTTGCTGAAAGAACACCTAAAAACGGTGTTTGTATTAAAAACTCCGTAACTTGAGAAGTACATGAGTGATTTGAATGATTCTTGTAATAAAAGAATGCTTATGAATAGGGGTTTCATATCCTAGATTTTGGAAATGCTACATTTAGAACTTCTGTAACATTTGGGTTTCGTTTTTTTTACTCACCCTGTAGAATCCAAAATTGACACTACACCGAAGGGAATCGGTTCTTACTCCGAAGTTATTAGGAGCTAAGAAAACAGCATCATGAGGGAGTTCAGTTTTACGCAAATTAAGGTTCCGACGTTTTAGTATTAAACTGTTGGTTTTTTGCAATCGGTATACCAATTCTTATCACAGGAAGATTTTTTTGGACATTATCACATTTGCATCTTAAAAAAAAATAACTCTGTTTATAAGCCATTTCATTTCTAGTTATATTGTTTGGAGTGATCATCAGAAGAGATCAAAGCACCCGAAATATTAACAACTAATTCAAACATTTGCAAACTAAAAAAAAAACAAAATACTGAAACGTCAAATGGTAATTTGTTGGCATCATACTTGAGCTTTAATTTTCGTTTTTCGTCTCGTTACTGATATTCGATTGTAAATGACAGCAATGAAAAGCAAAGCATTATAAACGGAAACTCACCAGTAGAAAATTCATTTCAGACTTGCTCTTGATAAAGGCGAGATGACTGTCATTTGCCAACTGTTGGCACTCAGTGCGTGCTGCGTACCCATTCGCCGTTGAGTCGGAAACCAGACGGTAGCACGACGACTCGAAAGGCTGAAACCCGCCAGGGCAAACTGCAGTCCCTGCTAGAAAACATAAATGCTTTTGATAACAATGTAGCAACTTTTTTTATTGCAAAGAATTTAAAAAAATAATTTGATTTTTAACTATATTTAGAAATTTCTTACAAACACACACCAATGAGGCTCGTCACGTGATTCCGAGCAAATTTGACCGAACGTAGAAAAAAAGTCGAGCGCAAGAAAAAATCGGAATGTGTTCGTTTGTTTCTAATTTGCTACGCAAACACTACTATGTTCAGGTTGATTAATTCAAAATACACAAGATGCAAACAAATGAATTGTTATCCATTTTAACACTTCAAAATGTAGATCTTTCAGGAGGTGTTTCATTTTTGTTTAGAAACGAATTGAAATGTGGCCATGCGAGAATTGTAAAACTCTCCGCTCATCTTTAAAACCTTCTTGTTATCAAGGATTGTCTGAACTTTAAAATTCATAAGAAAGATCGGGCCAGGTTTGTTATTTACGGCGCTCCATGAGTGCCATCCACTTCTTTATTTACTCAGATAATGTATCACGTCATGTTGACATATCGCCGAGAGTAAGGCGACTTAATCACATAATTGTATCGCTAAGTCGACTTACCGAAGTCAACTTGACGACTTGTTTAGATGTATTATCTCGCCAAGTCGACTTACCGAAGTCGACTTAGTGACTTGTCCAGAGGCATATTCTCTCCAAGTCGACTTCCGTAAGTCGACATGACGACTTGTCCAGATGTATTATTTCGTCAAGTCGACTTTCCGAAGTCGAGATGACGACTTGTCCAGATTTATTATCTCGCCAAGTTGACTTCTCGAAGTCGACATGACGACTTGTCCAGATGAAATATCTCGCTAAGTCGACTTCCTGAAGTCGAGATGACAACTTGTCGAGATAAATTATCTTGCCAAGTCGACTTACGATGTGGGGATGATGACATGCAAAAATCTCGTTCTGCATGGATATCCCGTTTTTTGAAGCATTGTCGTGGATTCTTTCTTGTTCGTCGGTGCATTTGAGGTTTTCCCCACCCGTTTTTATATGAACAATAAACTGTCAGAGGAACAAGAAATAAACTGTATAGGGTATTGATTTGATCTGGTTCGAAGTTAATTTGTGGTTTTTTTTTATTTTCAACTTGTTTTCAATTACTCCCCATGCAAGTTCGTAGGAAATCACACCTCTGCTTTGTTTTCCCCTATTATCCCGTTGAAAAGTAATTCACTTCACGTTAAACATTAACAATCATAAATTCACAAAAATGTCTTTATTGACAGGTTGCCTAAAAATGACACTTACAAATTCAAGATTTGTTTTAAATCATATTGAGATCATATTTAAGATAAAGCGACTTTCACGGCTTAAATTGGAATATCGGAAAATTAGCAAACTCTTGTCTGATATATTTAGTGAAAAAAATCACTATAAAAGCTCTTATTGCCATTATTAAATCTGGGGCAATGAAGACAAAGACAAATTTGTGTTAATTTCAAGATTTTAAATGGGGAGCGCCGGGGGGGGGGGGCATTTGTTGCGGGACATTATATTATTTTACATTTTGTTCGGAAAAGAAATATTGGAAAAGCACGTTAAGTTTATAATTATACCAACAATGTCCTTTCAAATTCCCAAACCATCAATCATGCGTTGCATGTTCGTGAAGCTTAACAGCTTCTCCATAGATGATAATACCCAAACGCTTTGCATCAAAGCAACAATACCTTTTCAATGAAAACACTCTAATGACATCATTAATCATCCGTCTTTGTGCCGCTTCATGTGTGGAAAGGAAAAAGACGAGCAGCCGTTTTGCATTTTTTATTAAACATCAACAAAAGAGACACAACCATTAGTTGCCTCCGCACGGCGCATTTTGATCAAATTTCAGTCTCGGTGTCGTCGGGTATTAGTTTCTAGGAATTTTATTTAATAATTAAGAAATATCAAGTCCGTTTGCGAAAATAATTTACACGTTTCAAAATGTACCACAAACGTATTGACACTCAACTTTCCTTTAGTTCTACTTTTACATGTCTTTGTGTTATTTTGAGGTAAAATTAAATGTTCTTGTGGCAATAAAAAAGACAAGTAAAGCCTAGCCAAGCTTTTCCCAAATCACCAAAAAATTATATCCAACTGGTTCCGAATGGCTATTCAATTGAGGCCTTTGGTACATCTGTGTACACAATAGCCCATTCGTGTGACGTTACGGGGTAATCCTGTACAATAGTACTGCCCAGTGCCCCTACTCTGACACCCCGAGAAATTATACTGGTATTATTCGCCTTTCCCCAAAATACGGACAGAACTGCTGGGTTAGGGGGTATTTGTACATCCCGTAACATATTGTTAATAATCTTCGGATTTGAACAGCGACCGCTTTGAAAGTACGGTACGAGCCACCCCCCCCCCCCTATTGATTTTAAGGAGCCAAGTGTCCGGACAAAAAAAAACCTGTCTACATTTCAGCATTGATTTGCTGATGAAACCCACCCCCTCCACAAAAATTCCTGGTTCCGCCCCTGATTGTTGTTGTGCATACGGCAATTATTATCGTCTACAAGGTGATTCAAAATGCAATCAAATTTGATACACAAATTTGATACAATGAAGTATGTCTAATAAGAGCATGTTCTTCCACTCATCTGAAAAAAGCAGTTACTGATATTGATCTATTCCAGCAGAAGTTATGCATGTTTTACTTAAAGAAACCATTTTTATTGGAGTGCCATTGAGCGTAGTGATAATACACACAAGCATTCATTAAAATGAGATATTAATAATTGAAATCAAGACCATTGTTTTTACTGTCAGTTGTAATGGTTTGCATATGAGGAACAAGATAACTCTTTTTCTTCTGAAATGTTGTTAGCGATATAAAAATCATTCATCGAGGTGGGAAAACGTCCATATTTCATAATACTCAATGTGTATTAACCAGTTCGTAGAATTATCAGAGGTGGACAGCCGAGCTTTTGTGATCTTTTTATTCAAATAGACATAACGTGAGATTTGAAGGTTTGCATGGTGGAAAGATACTAAGACAAGAAAAGATCGCGGTAGCACCATGTGAATAACATTCTCCTGACGACGGGCAGAGCATACTGTTCGAAACGTTGAGTCCCTCGGTTCTTTTCAGAACCACACATACTCACAAAAGAGATTTATTCACATGGTGCTACCGCAAACTTATCTTGTTTTAGACATAACGCGGGAATAAAGTATGCAAATGACGTGAAATTTTCACAGTTAAAAGTCAATAAGATGTACTTTATCATTTTTTCATAATGAAATTGAGCAAGCCGAATATTTTTTAATATTTTCAAATTCAGTTATTTTCTTTTTTGACTCCCCTGCAAGGAGAAGCCGGTAGAAAGCCTTGCGAATCGGTATCGGTTGAGCACCGCATGCATGGTTGTATACACGGTAGCCTCATCAGTAACCTGTACTCTGAAACCGACCACTCGCATGGCGGTTTGCATCATGTCCTATTAGCCAATATATTCGGCTTTTCCAAAAAGAGAGACTGACAACAACATTCCAAAAGGGAAAACGTTCCTTTTTCGCAACTCACAGGCAGGTGTGATAAAAGTATAATATTGTCGAATTAGCCGGTTATGCTGTAAAATATGACCGGCGTTTGCATGGTGATAAAGGAAGGATATTAAAAAACATGCTGACATATATTTACAGTTATAATTCTTTTCCATTTCTTGAAAAAAAAGGTAAAACATACCGGTACTATCAGTGGCGTAACTGGGTTGTGCCCCCCACAACAAATGTCCGTGCCATACCCCCCCCCCCCCCGCCGCCCGGCGCTCCCCGTTTAAAATCTTGAAATGTACAAAAATTTGTCATTTGCCTTCAGTGCCCCATTAAAAATTGTGTGCACCCATGTGCCCCCCCCCCCCGACCCACCCACCGGAATTAGGTTAAACCTCACGCCACTGACTGTTAATACCTATGAACAAAAAAGTACTCTCTTTTAACGTCTTCCACCTGGTGTCTTTCGTCAAGGAGGAAAGTATCATTAACTTATTGATAGGGAAATTGTTTAGGTTCTTGGGAATTTGAATTACATGTTTGACAAAATTTCATTCTTCCCGAGGGATTTTTCTCAGCCTTAACGATTTAGGTCGATTTGTGATTTAAAATCGCTTGTAATTTCATACTTGATGACATCAGAATAACGTCGCAGTAATATTGAGGCCGATGTCTCATTCAAAAGTGAACAACTTCTATATTGCTAGGAACAGAACTTTATCATAATGTGATGATCACAGTGTGATTTTAGTGTGCTAAGGCTAATCATAAGCTAATGTCCTTTATAAAACATTGATTTAGTGTTGACAATAAGAGTTTTTATAGTGATATCTTTATCAAATCATTTCTCGTAATATATCAGACAAGAGTTTTGCTCAATTTCTGATATTCCAATTTAAGCCATGAGAGTCGTTTTATCTTAAATATGATCTCAATATGATTAAAAGCAAATCTTGAATTTGTTAGTGTCATTTAAGAAAGCAACAAGTTTTATGCAACCTGTCAATAAAGACATTTTTGTGAATTTCTGATTGTTAATGTTTAACATGAAGTGAATTACTCTTCAACGGGATAAATAGGGGAAAACAAAGCAGAGGTGTGATTTCCTACGAAGCTTGGGGAGTAATTTAAAACAAGATGAAAATAAAAAAAAACCCACAAATCAACTTCGACCCAGATCAAATCAATACCCTACAGTTTATCTCTTGTTCCTCTGCCAGTTTATTGTTCATATAAAAACGAGTGGGGAAAACCTCAAATGCACCGACGAACAACAAAGAATCCACAACAATGCTTCAAAAAACGGGATATCCATGCAGAACGAGATTTTTGCATGTCATCATCCCCACATCGTAAGTCGACTTGGCAAGATAATTTATCTCGACAAGTTGTCATCTCGACTTCAGGAAGTCGACTTAGCGAGATAATACATCTGGACAAGTCGTCATGTCGACTTATGGAAGACGACTTGGAGAGATAATGCATCTGGACAAGTCGTCATGTCGACTTCTGGAAGTCGACTTGGAGAGATAATGCATATGGACATGTCACCAAGTCGACTTCGGTAAGTCGACTTGGCGAGATAATACATCTGGACAAGTCGTCAAGTCGACTTCGGTAAGTCGACTTAGCGATACAATTATGTGATTAAATCGCCTTACTCTCGGCGATATGTCAACATGACGTGATGAATAATCTGAGTAAATAAAGAAGTGGATGGCACTCATGGAGCGCCGTAGTTATTCTATCAGCAAGCAAATCTTCTAGTAGTAAGAAGGAAACTTATCATCTGGAGGTATGTCTCCTACCTGTCTCTGTTGTCGTCGGTATTTCTTCCTCCGAGGAACTCCCATGTCCCAGTATGCCACTCACATGTACGCTGATACAGGCCACAAGGCAACATGCGTTAATCTGAAACAAGGAAGACGAGATGCAGCGACAAATATAGAAATGTTTCTTTTCTTCAATCAAAAGACACCAAGTTGGATATCGTTACCATTTATAATGACTTGGAACACTTGTACAAAAAACTATCTTTAAACCTACAATAATTATTGAATGTTCGAAAGTTTTCGGCCTAAGAAAGTCTTCGAAACTAGCCACTCTTCTGGTTTTGTACCCGTTACCATACGGTTACACCTCTATGTTCCGACACCCTTATGCCCCGACACCCCTATGTTCCGACTGCACATATTCCTGTTCCTAACCCTAACCCTAACTCTAACCGGGAGTAACACAATCTTACGTGCGGGTTGTCGGAACATAGGGGTGTCGGAACATAGGGAAGTCACCTTACCATACCATCCCTTCCATCTAAGCTGTGGAACGAGAACTAACATTCTTCAGATTAAAAGGGCTTGAAAAGTGATATCTGTGGAGATTTCAAATGATGACGAAGTAAAATAACTTACCAACTGTTTGTCCATTTTTCATGCCTTTGTTTCCTCAGCCTTGTTGACTGCTCCGTTTGCAAGAGTTAGAGAGGGAATGCCACAACGGGTCGAAAGTAACCTTGCTTCGTCATGGACAGTCGAGAGAAAACAAATCCAAAGGTTGAATCACATACACCACCAGCAGCTCGAAATTACCTTTCTTACATTTATTTCTCCTTGCTGTATAATTCTTGTTTTTCCCTAACTACATGCAAAGCCCTCGGGGGCGTTGGTATAACCAATAAAACCAGTCATTAAAAATGGATGCAATCAACGATATGGCGACGCAATTAAAATGAATCGGCAACGGGTCTATTACATTATGACGTGTTTTCGTGGAGGATATGGGATAGCTAAACTAATTACCCGCTGTAGCGTATTCGATATGTCTGCCAAAACATATGACGCTGGCGCTCTTTACTTCTTGAGAAATGTGATTAAAGGTCCAGTCTTTTGCCTGTGTGAGCACCGAAACAGAGGCATCATTTCGTTAGTGACACCACGAGGCATGACCCTGCCATTGGCGGATGGGGGAGTTAGGTTGCTGAAGCCATAGGTCTACCACCCGTTTTTGCTTTATTAAACCCTATAAGACCGTCATGTGGTTCCACAATGCCGGCTCGATCAAGTGGACGTCTTCATACCCTAAGCTTAACCAATTTTAGTCCGTCCCGTCTGATTTATGATCCGCCCTATACCTATATTGCAGGCCTAAGTGTGCAGGCTATAGTAAAAGCCCCAAAATTGCCTTCGCGGGCCAAATCACAATTTGTATGCCCTCATTTTTTTGCTATTGTGGGTCATGAACTTGAGGGGAAGCCGTGATCAGTACTGCGACATTTTAGTTCTGTGAAATTGTGATGAAATTAGTTCTCAGAGTTGCTCTTTTTAGCAATAGAGCGTAGGGATCATTTTTCAAAAAGGCGATGGGCATTCCCCCCATAAGAAATCGTCGCCCCCAAGTCGCCCCCCCCCCCCCCCCCCCCCACTGGAGATTTGGCAACCGGAGAAAAGCACTGTCCTATAAGTTAACACGATTAGCGGGTTTAACACCAATTGGTTTTTATGGGGGGGGGTCTTTTTGACGAAATCCCTGTTTATCGCGATTGGTGAAAATTGAATAGCATTGACAGTGATGTCGGTTTTAAACAGCGCCCCCATGGAAAGATGGTCCCATCCCCGGCTACACCGCTGGATACATCACTGCAACTTCTGCAAGTTCAAAAGCGGTAATATGTATGATATGCGCTTGCGCCGTTTCAATGCTTATTCATAAATACCTCAGACAGTTTAGCTATTCCTATTGGTCGAGAGCCCGTCACGTGGCTGGTCTTAAACGGATGATAAAGACAAAGGCTGCATCCGAATCAGTTGTCTAGAGCTAGGTCTTGGTCTGCGCCCATAGAAAATACGCGGGGACGCGCTGACAATAGACGTAGCCGTAGCTCTGGAAGCCCGTTTCGGACACGGCCATGGCTAGCTGGTCTTAAACACTTTTCCAGTGTCACAATAAAATGTGGACTCCTAAAATCCAGTGCCTCTTACCGTTTCATTGGTTGAACGTTCACAATCCTCACGTAGGCATGCGCAACACTACAAGCGAGTCAGAATTTTACAGTTCTTGAATTCAAAACGCAACGCCCCAGGTGCGTTCTGCGTGACATCGCGCAGAACATGTTACGCGCGCGTCAATCTCCATAAAAGGGTTGTTTACATCTTACTCGCCAGCTGAACACTCCATTATTTTGCTAGAGGGATGTTTCAAAAAGCATGAAGTGAACTTGTTGAACAAAATCGGGATTTTTTTAACGAATTATTTGATATTTTTTTACGGATAAGGTATTTATGAATGGGAATAAATATGTGCTCGGTCGGTATTTATCACTCTGTTTAATACCGCTTAGAGTCTGGATGCTGATAATTACCCTCGCCTCCGGCTCGGGTAATTATCAGCACCCAGACTCTAAGCGGTATTAAACGAGTGATAAAAACCTCCGGAGCACACATTTATTCCTTTAATATTCTGAACTATTTTAGCTTGAATTTGCAGTGGCGTAGCTAGGCCATTTTTATTAGGGGGGGGGAGGGGCGGACGTGAAAAGGGGCACTCGCCCATCCGTGCTGAAAGGTAGACAGGTTTTATTTTTTACCGGTCACCCGGCATCCGTAAGATACAAAAGCAGAGGGGGTGGGGGGGGGGTATCTTCCTATGGGGTCGCTGTTGAAACCGGACGTAGATCATGGGCACTATCCGCAGACATAAATAAACGCATTCATATGTCTTTAGCACTATCGGACAAAAGGTGGCGCTTTTTATGGTGGCACAAATTATTGGCGACGTTCGCGCGACGTTCCAAAAACAATGTCGCTCGTAGAAAAAGGGCACTTGTGAAAAAAGGCACTCTTTACAAAATATTGGGGGTCGGTAAATCCCCCCCCCCCCCCTGTTGATTTCTAAAGGGTGCACATGTGCAGGAGAAAAGCTCGACCATATTGTCAATTTATTTTGACCTGGAGAAATAACAAAGAGCAAGGGTTGGTGAATGGGAGGGTTAGAAGCCGTACCTGGATCGAATTATTTAGCCTTCAGAGACTACTTCCATACCCGGTCGGTATTTATCGGGTTTTTTTTTTCTTACAAAATGGAAGAAAACTTGCCCATGGCCATAAAACCGCAAGTGAAGCAAGGTGAATCTCGCGTGACGAGCGACTTTGCGCCGCACGCCGAGTGCGTACAAAAACGCTGGCGCTCTCACGCGCGCATCGCGCAGTTCACTAAGGACGCGCTCAGATTCTTAACAAAAATAGCAAAGTTATCACATATGCACTGACAGTCTCCAAATTTGATCTTTGTGAAGACCTAACATGATTTCTTTCACGTTTAGACAACATCAAGGACCTTCAAATCGTCTCGGTTGACAAAGGAGTGTAATCGGTATGTCAGATTCTCATGGTTACTATTGTAAAGGTTGGTCATTTAAATAATTTGGATAATTTAACAAGGCGCGTTTGTCTTTTAAGTCGTCTTAGAATACGGAACATCTTTTAGCAATTGTTTTGTAACCTGAGGGCACTGAGGACAGTTCTTGTTATTTAAATTAGCGACAATGAATGTACAAACTGTCAACTCGTACTCATGACTATCACAGAGGGAAAAAAAGCCTGCCCTTAGATGCGACGTCAGATGCAAGGATTCTAGTGCCAATGGGCCTAGACCCAATGCATTTAAATCTGTTAAATTAACGGAAAAGCAGCTCCTTAACCTGTGTATCTAAAGTTTAATCATTAACGGTGAAAGCGGGCCCTTCGATTTTTGCTTCCTGTAACTCTTCTCACTGGCATTCTATTAAACCATGGACTATGGAGGAATAACATCAATCTATATGAACGCATAGCAGTTGCCCAATCGCTCAGGCTTAATTCACACAGTCACCTGCCGCGTACAGGAAAAAAAAACACCTGGAAATCATAATAAAGTTCCTTAATTGCAACCATGGCAACGTTTACAGTCTATTCGACATGCTGTGCCGCGGTACAGTGTGCACGTAATGCTCGGACCTAAGCCAGAACTGTGTAACATGAGCTTGGATTGCAAAATGTTCTCTATAGTCTACAAAATGCCACTAAAATATTGAACAGAAAAGAAGGCTCCGGGGGACATTTCCATTGTTGTCTCCGTCTGACGTGACCGTGACACCAAGGCAATAGACCGAGGGTGGCCTCAGACGGTTCCTTCGAAACTTGTTGTGTTCTCCCTCAGATAAACTGCGCAACAGGTCCCGTGACGTGTAGTTGTTTTTCACCCGTTTCAGCGATTGCAACGGGACCAGGACTCGACGAGATTCGGATATGGGTCTCGCTGGCTGTTTCAGAGTTTTGCTTTTCATTGAAAACTTCATCTTCTGGGTAAGTCATCCTTTGTTGTAATGTTGTTATTTTTGAACAGATACAATTTGACTACTTAACTGCATATGTAGGCCTACCCCGTTTTGTTGTTCTTTTTACTCACTTGCCCATATTGCCTCTGTAATAACTGTCAGTCAAAAATACCACTGTCAGTCCAGTTGGCGTATACGGGATCATGGATGACGCTAGAATATTCAGAAACTGTACGAATTGCAGACACGAAAAGTTGGGGAGGGTGATGAGTTGTATACATGTTTATTACATTCAACCACCGATGGCCCAACCTCCTCCCCTTTTGAGTGGGGATACTTCTCCCCACCCTCATTCCCATCCCGGATTTTCGCCCAATGTCACTCTGTCCGCCATTCTCTCCGTCAACCTAATTTAGTTGGTTATTCAAGTGCGACTTCCGACTTATCGTCGTTGAACCGCTTGTCAACCGTAGGTTTGTTTGTGGGAAATAAAACAAGAAAAGAAGAAGCCAAAATGTCCAGATCTTCAGATGGTGCAGTTCCATTTTATTTCATCAGTCTTGTGTTAAGGCATCTATAGATACACATTTTGGGCGCTTAAAACAGTCTACTGAAGTGATATTCTTGCAATTTTTGGATGTTTTATCTTCTTGGGTAAAAAAAAAGGGAACTAAATTTGGGTATTTTTCAAGTAGCCTAACAGATTAAAAAAAATGAGAAACTGATCGCAAACTTCGGGACATAAATTGGCAAAGTGACGCTTAATTCAAGAAACTTTTTTCTGGGGAGCCGGGGGGGGGGCTAGACGAAATTTTAAATGGGTTTAACGACCCCCCCCCCCCCCCCCCCCCCCCCCCCACTGAGTTGCGTCTGTATGTCTGCTTTTATTAAGAAATATTTTTCAAAGTAAGGACAGTTTTGTTTATGAAGGAATCAGCTTTTTAGCTGAACGCTAATCACGCGATCGCAGGACGGTCACGTCGCAATCAATGATAGGTGAATGATTAACACGTGGTTTGACATCACCCTATACAAGACGAACAGTCAAGGCAAGCATGTCTCCTAATTGATGATGCAATTAAATAAAACCTTACTCAATACTCATCGCTTTAATGATCGATGCCTTCCAGGACCTCCTGTACACGTAGATTAATACATTCGTCCTCGTTAGGCTAAGTTTTAAAAAAAAAAATAGTGTCGCGTACGGGCTTTTGGGGGAAAACAGGAGGAGGCGGCACTTTTTTTTTTCCAAGATGGCTGATTTTCCAAAATGGATTCTTCCCTTTTGTTTCTCCACTCTTTTGCTGATAAGTGCAAAGGAGCCGTCACTCTTTCTATAACATTTTAACCTTGCATACATAGCTTCAATTTTGCTGGAAGGACTTAAAAGACACAATGTATTGCAAATGTATGTTTAAACATTAAAAAAAGAGTCGGTCGGGAAAACAAAAGAAAACGGGTTGGGATGAGAAACTGATTTTTTTTTGTACTTGGCCTTTTACATGCACACCTGCCAATTATTATGTTTTATAAGATGTGATTGATTACTACGATCATTATGCCGACTAAGTTTAACATTGTGTTTTTGTGAAAAGCGCGTGTACTCATTTCCTCCTTCGGGAACTCGCTACATCCTGCGACATGCTTTTCATGTCATTTCGTTTTCATTACAAATTAATGTTGTAGTCGCCACAACGCTGTACATGTATATCCCAGCCACCGGCTCATATCATTATTACTCATTTTATGAGACCCAGATTATTTATTTAAGAGAATTGGAAGGGTTCGTGATGAAGTGTTACCGATATTGCATATTATTATCATTCACAATTCATGTTTTATAAGATTTGAGGCTTTGCATGGTGGGGTATCGGTATCGTTTCGGTTTTGCGGTAACACCATGTGGTAATAACTACTGCTTAGAAGATATTAGTTCTGAGAAGAACTTGTCCTGCTTATTATCAACTTGCTAAGTAGTTTTTGTTCTGTTTTGGACTGTTCTAAACAGAACAAAAACTACTTAGCAAGTTGATAATAAGCAGGACAAGTTCTTCTCAGAACTAATATCTTCTAAGCAAAATTCATGTTTTGCTTTCATAATCATGACGAAATTCAACGTTAACATTTTTGGAAAAGGTAAACTAAACGGTTTACCAAATTTCGAAATATGAAACAGCATTATTTATATCCACCAAATTTATGTTATTATTATGGGGAAATGGAAATTCTTAAATTTTGAGGGTACACTAATCTTCCTCCTCACGTTGAATTTTATAAACATGAACCTCTTGACATATCATTGCATCAAAATCCGGGTTCAGTACTATATGTTTTACCCCCGACATGAGATGTCAGCAACTCCGTCTTATACCGTACCCCGGAGCCGTCCAACCTTGACCCGCAGGGGGCAAGGGCAGCCTCGAGTGGGCCGGGTATACGTTCCGGGATTTCCCCCTAAGGTCCCGACCATGTCGGCACAAGCTGCGCAATGGGGCTCACATTTCAAACAAATTTCTCATGAAATTTTGTGGTTGTTTTCCATCGAGAAATTATGGGAGAAAATCGATTTGAAATACAATTTTTAAGTTGCTTGAATCTTGCGCGCCACGCACACCAAGACTATGTTTTATACTGTTTTGAGATGGAGCGGAGCGCTCACTATTTAAATAAGGCCTATCTGTGCTATAGTTATCATGGACCGATTTTCTCTATTTTAATACTATAACATTGAAAAGTTTACAACTTATCTTATGCTTAAAAGGCACGAGTCAATTAAAAACTGTATATTTCGGGGCAACACTAAAAAAAAAAAAAAAAAAGCACATCAAGGAAATCAGCTCCATTTTCGTTTTGATCTCCTACAACGACTTTTAACTTGACATAATAATTATGAGCAGTGAAACAAAAGAAGACATGGGCGTCGCCGGGATGGGGCAAGGGGGCGCTTTGCCGCCCCCCCCCCCCCCCGAAAAAAAACTGAAGACGGAAAAAGAGGTATGAAGTGCATTGCTATAAATTATTACACATTTAGCAAAATTGGCGTCTGCAGGGGTGTCAATGTGGGTGGGGTGGGTAAATGTCCCCGCCCACCCTCGAAAAAACGGATAAATTGAGAATTATACTAGAGAAAGTAAAAGGATTTGGGGGGAAATGTGCTTTGCCCCCGCCCCCCCCCCCCCCCCCGACAAAAATATATATGTAGTGAAATATATTCGTAAACACAGGCATGACAGTCGGCGCTGTCGACGTCGTTACATTTTCAAGAGCTGTTTGTCAAAGCTTTAATTAGGTCCATTCACGTAAGTCCTAGCTGTCACGAAGTACATCAGGTCAATGAGGATTTCTGTCAACATGAATCATAATTGAGTCTGAGAGATGATAAACAAACCAGACCGTAGTTATTACCGATATTGCGAATAATACTACAATGGCAAGTGAAGTGAAGCATATATACAACGTGTTGAGCTAATGCAGCCTCAAAGGTAATAATTATACAGCATTTTGCAAACATCAAAAAACAAAACTATTTTGTCCGAATCGACAATAAGGGCCGATAGTCCGAATCAACAGTGAGGCCCGATAGTCCGAAGAGTCAGACTGACGAACCGTATTGCCCATTCGGACTATCGAACCTTATTCTCAATTCGGACTATCGAACCTTATTGTCAATTCAGACTATCGAACCCTACCGTATATTCGGACTATCAAACCTTATCATCTATTCAGACTATCGAACCTTATTGTCGATTCGGACTATCGAACCCTATCGTCTATTTGGACTATCGAACCTTCGGATTAATTAACCTTATTCTATTTTCGGACTAATGGGCTCTTCGGACTATCGAACCTTCGGACTATTGGACCTTCGGACTAACGAACCTTCGGACTAATGACCCTTCGGACTAAAGAACCTTTGGACTATCGAACCTTCGGACAATCGGGCTGTAACCGGTCTGCCCCCCCCCCCCCTCTCTTATTCTCTTTTCAACCCTGCATGTTTGTGTGTCCCCTACATGTTTGTTCTTGTTCCTCTGTCATTCACCTCTGAAGAAGGCCTGGCTAAGGCTGAAATGTAATGCCACTTTATTTTCGTTTAATGTCAATACCAATATACTATAGAAGATCGATGAACCATATTTGCCTGATCTATCTTCTGTTAATCTGCCCGCCGTCATCATCGCCATTAGCCTATTTGGGAATGAGGCCGACACAATAGAAGGGCGCTGTCACAAACTGAGCGAGATGTACTTTTAGGATTCATGGCTCAGTGCCAACGCCTCTCTGTGTTTTGTACCGTGCCAGAGTATCGCCCGCATTGGCTATTTTGCCGGGCGATTTACTGAAATATTTTAGTGATTTACAAGTACGACATATTGCCAATATTTTAATCATTTATTGTGATGGCCGTAAACTGCATTTAGCGATTAATGGAACAAAAGTCTTCTCGACTCATGCAAACGCAATTGACATTTAGGAAGGAGACGAGGCAGGCAATTAGACTCTTATTTTGTGTGACTATGACAGTAGCTCAATTTGTGTTTATCACAGATGAAAAGATGAATACATGGCGAGTCAAAAAGAAAGTGACCGTATGATAAAAAAAAGAAATGGCACGCTCCATTTTGTAAAAAACATAATTGGGGTAAAGAACATGTCATTGAGTAGTAACTGTGAAAATTTCACGCAATTTGCATAGGCCTACTCTATTCCCAAGTCGTGTCTATTTCAATAAAGAGATCACAAAATTCAGCTGTCCACCACTAATAACAAATTTACCGTTCTACGAATTGATGAATATCCAATAATGATATAAAAAAAACGTTTTCCCGCCTCCACGAATAAAGGAAAAATTGAAAACACAAAATCTGACGGTAATTTAAATCTCAGTTGTATTTGGAATCAATGAGGATGGCTATAAAGTGCTTGTTTCAACAGATCATCCCACAATAAAAACGAGAAATAAGAAGAGAAGCAATGGTTATTGGACTATGCCTCACTCACTAGAAAGTGAAGAGAGACATGTCTATTAGCCTCACATTGCAGTCACATTTGCCCTCAACTGATTCTTTACTAAACCCTAAAAGGGCAATCCGCCCCCCCCCCCTCACTTTTTGGCTGGTCTCGACTCGAGACCAGCCAAAATATCGAGGCCAAAGAGGACCGAGACTGAGACCAAGACTACAGCTCCCGAGACCGAGACCGAGACCAGCAAAAAGTGGTCTCGAGACCGAGACCGAGACCGAGACCGAGACGGGTCTCGAGACCTACAACACTGTCAATTAATAGAAAACACCCTGTGAATTCTTTTTGGCCTGTAGACACATTTCAAATAGGCATTGAAATTGATGCCCAGCGTCATACGATCGCTTTTTGCTGCTACTTTAGAATTAATAGTCCCAATGTTTCTGTACTCGTTTTTACTTGCGTCATTAACGAAATCATGCATGTTTAAAATATACAAAAGAATTATTTATGAGGCTTCACTTTCTCAAAATTTTGGCCAAGCCTGCAGTATCCACTGATCTGAAAAATATACAGGATTAACTTTTAAACATCCTTCCAATATTGTACACAATCTTTTGTAAGTTTTGAAAGATTAGGAATAGTTACTAAATTTATATACCTTACCTATCAGCTCAATTTCTGCAACATATTTTTTTTTAGCAGATTGCAATTTAGAAAGCAGGTCCTAGTAAATGTTACCGATTTTTAAATATTTTTCGTAATGGTCTGAAGTCTCAAAGTTGCACTCCCGTGCCTTTTGCTTGGGTTTAATAAAGCCTATTACTTGACAAACTCAAATAATCAAGGTGTGGGGTTTTTTCGGAGGGTTGCAGACGCCCAAATAGAAAAGAGATATTTTTAAGTTAATGTAAAACATAAAATTGTAACTTCAAATTGAGGCGCCCTATATAACTTTCACCTTCCCCGTTACCCACGGAGCCAAGTTTCCTGTATAACGTCTGATATGGCTAAACCTGTATAGATGCAAGCCGCGCACCAGCCAATCGGAGTCGACTTTACTACATCGTGACGTCATTTCATTCCCAAATCAGGACTAATGGTTCGATTGGTCCATTCGAATGCAGTGTGTTGTAATACAACAACAGCCGGGCGCATATCACGTAACATGATACAGAGCGCGTGACATCGTTTTTTTATCCATGTCTGACGCGCAACGGGTGAATGACCCAAGACCGGATATAGAAAGCGCCCGCTGATTGATCAAAATCTAGAGGTCAAGATGCGGTTGTCTTACATAATTAATCAGCGAATCTGTTCAAATGTAATAGACTAGAGGTTAACCTGCGTCCATTGAGATTGCTAAATAATGATAGGTTAAATAATCATGTTGTCCTTGTTTCCTGGCAGCTGATTGGTGTAGCCTTGATCATCGTGGGTTCATACATCCTGGTTGCCCCAAACCTTCCCGCCTTTTTGCGGATTCTGGAAGGCTCGCAGGTGAGGATGAAAGCAATACGCTCGCGGTAGATAATTCAGCCTGTGTCATTTAATACACAGATTTCAATGGCGGTCGGTCGTTCAGTTCCTGATCGATAAAACTCAGCTGTTGACAATATAGGCATCATTATAAAAGAGATTTATAACGGAAACAAACAAAAAAACGAAACACCTGTCATGAGGCTATACGGAATTAAACAACAGATCCCGATAGGCGTGTTTGTATAACACATATTTGAAAATGCCTCATCACACGTATAGGGATGATTATTAATTATCATGTGTATGTGCTGTTTGTATTTTCATTATTGGTGAAGGAGGCACCCAAACTGAACTTAGAGAAAACATAGGAAGCGTTTATGATAAAATTAGATGTCCAGCGTTACTAATCAGCGCCGTTCATAATTATGTAGTGATGGCGTTTATGATGTAAACGAAGTGTTTACACTTGTTTTCCTGAAAGTTAAATTGCAGTTACAAGCAGCCGCAAGAATTTAACTGGCTTTTTGAGGCATTGTTTTTTTTACATAGATATCTGCATAATGAATCTGACTCATAAATAAAGATAAGTCTTTAACTATAATAAATGGCGTCTATCCCCTTAAACGTGTTACAAACGCTTATAAACTGAACGTGTTAAGAGTCATTTCGTGTAAATACTTCATATAAGTGTCCACGCTCAAAAAATCGATTTTTTTTAAAACTTCGAGGGATGAAAGGACTTTGGGAGCAAGTAACTAAAATAGACTTTTTAAACCGATATTTTTGCCTGTTGCCATGGTTACGGGCCATTATGTGTTTTGGCCATTTTCGGGCAATTTTGAGGCTGCAAAAATTCATTTTTTGCGTTATTTTCAAAGGTCATCAAGCCAAACTGCGAGATAGTGTAACAAAAGTAACTATATCACGACAAAGTATCATCCTTACCCTTGCAAGAAAAAAATAGAAACACTTCTGAATAATCTCCTTTACATTATTTTCAGGCCCTATAATACAGCATGTTTTTACAACTAGCAAAATTGCATTTTTACCCCATTTTTATCCCTCCAAAAATGGCACTTGCCAGGGCACTCAGAATAATGTCCCTTCGGCTATGGTTAGTTCAGACATTGGTCTTTTCATATCTGGTGAGAACATTTTGGGTTATTGTATATCCTTTGTGCAGTAGCGCTCCAAAAATGGTAAACCTTAAAAAGTGTATTTTCAGTGTTTTCCTTTGTTTTGAGTAATAACTTGTATAATTGGTATTGTTCATGAATCAAGCACATTTTTCACAAACAGAATCAGATTGTGTATCATTTTTAGACCAGTGGATGAATAGTAGGTCGTGTACTCTCGCCCCCCACTCACACCTGGCTAGGCCCCGCCCACTCCCCCTGTGCCACCGAATTTTGAACTTGTGTGTTGCATAACGAAACAAATGTAAATAAATAATATGCAAGTGAACACTTTAGAAATTACATAGACTTCCTTTTCACAGCCTCCCCTTCCCCCACCCTGGGGCCATTGCTTGGGGTTGAGGGTGGGGTGTGACCACCCACCAATAACTTGGCTTTGTCGGTAAAATGATCGGGTAAAATATCGGTTTAAAAAGTCTAATTTGGTTACTTGCTCCCAAAGTCCTTTCATCCCACAAAGTATAAAAAAACACGATTTTTTGAGCGTGGACACTTATATGAAGTATTTACACGAAATGACTCTTAAAAGTCATTTCGTGTAAATACTTCATATAAGTGTAAAAAAAAAAACGATTTAAAAAAAAAATTTTTGAGCGTGGACACATATGAATTATTTACACGAAATGACTTTTAAGAGTCATTTTGTGTAAATACTTCATATAAGTGTCCACGCTCAAAAAAAAAAAATTTAATCGATTTTTTTAAATTTTTTTTTATTTTTTTTAAATTTTTTTTTTATACTTTGTGGGATGAAAGGACTTTTTTTGAGCGTGGACACTTATATGAAGTATTTTTTGAGCGTGGACACTTATATGAAGTATTTACACGAAATGACTCTTAAAACGTTAATAAACTGTTGCAAATGTGTTCAGAAGTTAAACACTAACTGGATTGTAGAAAGTTGGCATCTGCCCACGCCCCCACCTCCATCGATGGTCTCCGCCTTGAGTCTCTGCGTAATACACATTACGTTATCTTTTTGGTTTGCAATCACAGGTTATTTGCTATGTTGCTATTGGACTGGGAGCTTGTCTCTTCATCATCGGTAGGTTGAACTTTCCTTCTTATGGTGATCTTATAAGGATCGGTAAATCTGAACGTCTTGAGAGGAGACGACATGCAAAACATCTTGCTACATCGCAAACATTATGTGTGGTTTTAAATACATCTCAGACACGCAAAGCTTCGGAACTTTAGTGGAAATCTTCAAAACTTACTTGAAGTGTGCACGTCATAACAACGTTTATTCAAACTTACGGTCTACCTGTTGAAGGAAATGCGTGGATTTGGGGTCAAACACTCACATTGATGATAGTAAGTTAATATAATATAATACTTTTTCTTCTTTTTGTAGTGGGTCTTACTTGATATTAAAGTCCCTGTTGAACATACCCATTCCCATAATTCGCTATGGCGCCTTACCAACAAAAATATTCGTTTTTTAAGCAATTGGTACTACGTGTTCATGCCCCAACTCAGCAGTACATGCATGGTTTACAAACTCTAAAATGTGACTTCATACATTCCTCTGCAGGATTCTTTGGATGTTGTGGTGCCTTTAAGAAGAACTCTTGCCTCCTCAAGACAGTAAGTGCCGATTACCAATTCATCCTAGGCGTAAGGTGGACAATAATGTAGCTTTTCAGTTGCTTGGTGGCAGCACAATATTACATTTTTGTCAGCCGACGAGCATCTCATGAAGGTTTTGCTGGTCCCAGAGTGCCAGCTTCTACGTGTCACTCAATGACTGAATCACTCACTGTCACTTGTGCGCTGGGCAGTGCTATCGTATAGGAGTACGCCGTAAGACCAATGAATAAACTATAAATCAGCCTCATTGTGTAGACCACATACATTAAAAGATTTCCTTTAAGATATGAAAAGCCATTTATAGGCTTGCCTGGTCCTGCTAACACGTTTTCGAATTAGATCGCAAGGCATTGTTATAAAGATGTCCAAATCACAACTAAGCAACATTGTTCCAGAAGTTGAATTGGAATGTCCGCACTTTAAAGGTAAAATGATCTGATACACCGTGCCCTCTGGAGACGTGTGTACAATAGGGAACACAAGATTGTATACGTCTCCACAGGGCAATTTCTACAGATGAATACCTCTCCACACGGGTTTTCACGAAATAGATATATTCATTTTAATCAAAAACTAGGAATTTCCAAGCTATGTTGATTCGTCGCAAATGGAAGAGTTTTAGAAATGGGATATTAATTCCAAATTTCAGCCAAGGAAATTAATTCTGGTTAAAATAAGAGCATTTTTAAACTACACTTTCAAACTCGATAACTTTAGTACATGAGAACAAAGGAATGTCTCCACAAGGATACAAATTCCAGTATGGGTGGACCAGTAGGCAGCGTTTTCAATTTTTCATCCGTGTTTAAGTCATCGATTTGAGCACAATGTTTGTGATACTTGAGAAAGTGAACTTGATACTACAATGCAAACCACTGGCACCTCTCGCTGAGCATAGTACAATGCATGATCAACATTTCGGGTTCAAATAACAAAGTCTTCATTGAAAATAATGTCGTGTAGCGTACTGCCGATTAGTCTTCATGCCCACACTCTGTGGATTCGAGATATCGTCTTTCCGTCTCTTTGTTACATACAAACAAAAGCAAGTGATAAACAAAATACATGCGGCAGTTGAGATCCTGAAACATTCAATGAGAACAAATGAGTTTGGTCATAACATTAATCATATTTTTGACATTAAGAATTGCAGTGAATATTTCTGCTTTCTGTTATAATGGTTTCTCGATCTGCAGTATGCTGGACTACTGATTGTCCTTGTTCTCCTGGAAATCGCTGCTGCCATTCTCATCTGGCAACTGGAAGAACAGGTTGGTTGGTGTCAGTAAACAAAATATCTGTCCGATCACTATGGAAAATTACAACATAAAAACTTGGGCAAAACCGAAAAACAAATTGGAAAACTTCATCGTTAAAATCGGGGAAAGTAATTGGAACAAACTAAAATAAAATAAGCCATTACAGTTAATTCCTCATCAAACACATGCAGTTAATGTGCTTACGAGTGTCGTTTCATTTGGCATTTGTTGCCGATGTGGCTTAAATAAAGGCCTAAATATTGTTTATTTGTTTGATGTCGGATCTTATTACATAATGTAATTTAACATCCTATAAATACATTGTATGTATGTGTTTCCCACGGACAGTTTATATCCGTTCTGGCAATGGGATGGAACTCACTGGACGAGCCCAGCGTCAACATCCTACAACAACAGGTATGTGGGGTCTGGATTTATTCATCGAGACCGCTTGATAGCAGCAAAGTCATCAAAAGTCATATAGCCATAGCAAATGATAGTCTGAACAAGTCATAACAAATCATAGCGAATCGTAGCAAATCATAGTATATATACACCTGTGAAATCATTCGGATCGATATTGCGATAACTGGCCGATCACCAAGGCGATACGCGAAATAAACGTATGGTTAAATCATGCACCCAGCTCTGAAACAAACTGTGATATTTTTTGCACTTGTTCGTTAATCAATATCTATATAATTATGTGTATAAAAAATAGCCGTTAATGAGCGCAGTAATGTTGGTATGTTTTCCTTGTTCTTGTCTTAACTGAAACAAACTTAATTGCACAAATCCCGGCACGTTTTGATCTGGAAACCGATTCATAATAACCTCATTGTTAGTTGGTCAAAAACATACTTTGGCCAAGGTTCCCTGGTCAATAAGACCCAGAAAATTACCCTCAAACGCGTCAATTTGACCCGGAAAGTGTCATTAAAAAGAAAAATTTGACCCGGGTTCCGTGTGAGTAAAAATAAAATTTGTTGTTGACCTTTTGTTTATCTGCAGTTTGCTTGCTGTGGATTCAGTAGTCCAGGCGAGAATGTCACCACCGTGTCTCCGGATACCACCCCAGACTCATGCCTTGACGCGTCAGGAGCAGTCTTTGAAGTAGGTCATTCTTTTTATAACACTTTACTCAACAGTATTGATTATGCATTTTTATAACGCAATTGTAATGTTACATGTAGCATGTATGTTGTAGAACTGGAATGATTAGCATTTTCGTTGGACCGGTCGATCAGTTTGACGGTGCAGAACCAATCGGACATGATTCCTCCTAATGTCCTTTTTGCAAAATGAGTCGAGAAAGTACGTCGGTGTATTGGGAAGAAATGAATGTATTATTTATCAAAGTCAAAAGTCTTCTTTTAGGAAACGAGTTATACAGAAACATTTTCGTCACTCGAAAAGTGGTCGTATGAAACCCGTTGCGCACGTTGCTTTCAGTCTTTTTTTTATGCCGGCCACCATCGATTTTAAAAGTTGTTTACAATCATACGGCCATCAGACAAGACATAGTGAAATAAAACCGCAAATATGATAATACATAGGAACCCATTTTTTGCCTTTTTCCAACTCTCCATCAGACCGGTTGTTACGACAAACTGAAGCTGGCGATTCTGGACAACATTGTCATCTCTGCGTCGGTAGCGGGCGGTGTTGCCCTTCTGCAGGTAAACTCTACATAATTATACAATACACTCAACCATAAAAGAAAGTCTGCCTCGTACTTTTTTGTCCAACTCAAAAACTACTGGGCAAATCTCGCTCAAATAACTACTAATCAGTACAAAAATTCCTTAGCAATCCAGCCATACTCTTTATGTGGTCCAAAACAGTGATAATGTGTACTAATTATGCAATTTTTGACATGATACCGAAAAAAAAAGTTGCACTTTTGTATAAGTGCAAGTTGAGTGTGAACATTTCCGTTTTGTTTTTTGGGGGTTTTTTGGCAATTTTTTTTTGGCATCATTTGTCATAAATTGCATACTTGTGTACACATTATCGCTCTATTTTGTGCCAAAAGTGTATGACAGGATTGCTAAGGAATTTCTGTAATGATTAGCCGTTATTTGAGCAAAAGATGCTCAGCAGTTTTTGAGTTAAGACCAACAAAGTATTAGGGGGGACTTTCTGTTTTGGTTGAATGTAGCCTATATTATGCAATATTTGGCTGCTGAATTAGACACGTGTTACTGTCATATTAGATTTCTGGTATATTTTACCTAATATGTTTTTTATCCCTCGCACGTGACTTGTGACTGTTCTAACTGTCCACTAAGGTATGCCCTATTTTCATGGAGGCCGAATTTCACACTTCACCAACCCTTGCTGTAGGCATTCGGACGAAACTTTATTTTCTTCTGTAGCTAACCAAACCCGAAACAATCATACCTGTTAGTGTCAATCTTGTGGTTACATAAATGGTTACTACCAAACACATTTTATTGCTTTTCAGTTAGGGGAGCTAGGCCTATGGCGTTTTTATTTAAATTGTTCATTCTCAGGCTGTTTAAAAATTCGCACCACTTTGATTCTCACTGCAGATCATCAGCATCATTGTCTCTTGCCTCCTGGGCAGAGAGGAGAAACAAGTCACAGTTCGGCCGGCACCAGGTGAGAAATCCTCCATTTCTCTTACTTTTCTCGTACTACTTTTATCATGAGCAATTTTTTTTTTTACTCCTTTGTTCATGCACAATCGGTCACACTCATAGACTCATGCAATGGCGCCCTCTGTTGGCAGACCCTGCAGGAAGTTTTAATGATTTTGCTTTTAATGCTAACTGTAATTAACTATTCTTTCCTCTGTTTTTTTTTTATTCACAGCAGGAAGACAGGCGTGGGGTACAGGCGGATATGCCTAGATGGAAGCATTCTTAGCTCTGTTTGGACACTAACAAATGTGAAAGATCTGCAAAGAACTACCCCAAAGCCTACTCATTACTTTTTGTGAAGGATCAAACTTGTTGGTTTTGTTACAGCTGATTTAGAATCATCATCACCTGGCACTAATTTTTAGTTTGGTCACTGTAACAAAACTACTTCTCGAAAAGACTTATAATCATCAGCTGACCGATTGCATACTTGCCATCATTGTACATTATCTTAAAAAGATGATATATAATATTAAGCATATCAGCAAATTTTAAAGCCTTGCGACTTTGTCAATATTTTCAACTGAGTTGGGAAGGTTTGCTATATTTTGCAGCTGAGAGTAGATATTCAGAGTCCACCTGTTGACTTCTGGTGGCATTGATTCAAAGCGTGAAAGCTATGTCACCTTTCGTAATCATGGCTTTAGCTTGACTTTCTAACTTTATTCTCCTGCCTAAATTAGATTTTTTTTAAGTGGCTCTCCCCGTGCTATATTCGAGTTTATAGGGAATATACAACATTTGCAAACATCAAAAACAAAACTACCAAAATATCATAAAATATGTTACTGGACTGTTAATGAATGACAGTCTTAAAGTATCCTGTAAAATCGTGGCACTTGGTGTGCTGACATTTTCAAGAAAAGTGGCATTTTGTTTCATTTTCCAACGCTGGTTGGAAAAATAGTCCGCATTTTCTTTGCAATCGTTTACACACCGTCATGTGAACGGGTAAATTACAAGCCAGCTAGACTGATTCCTTGACCTTACAATTCCCCCGGCACATCTGTACACTGCTACGTTTCATCTTGGGGTCAGGAATCAGACTACAAGAACATGATTGTTTTCTTGGTCTTACCAGCATGTAGTACGCCGAACCCAAAACGTCAAACAAGTCAGTGTAACAATATTTGCTATAAGATTCTACCCCCCCTCCCCCCCCCCCATCCATCCATTTCTGAAACTACAGCAAAAACAAATGTTATATATTCACTTTAAACCCGAAAAATAGATTATGATATTAAATTGCTGTGTTTTTTCCCTAGCAATACAAAAGTTATTCAATTTTAATGAGACATCCCACTAACAACAGCAAAATCCCGCCCAATTAGTGCTGGAATAATTGTCATTATAAAACGTCAAATTATTTACGGAGGCGTACCGGTGTCTTTTCGTGCGATTTGCATTCAAAGACAAATTCAGGGGATTGAAAGCGTCTAAAAAAGTGAAAGGGGTACCTTTTTTCCGTTAAAAAAAAACAAACCACAAATTGAAAATTCGTTAGAAGAAAAAAAATCGAATGTGGTGAGGAGCACGGGAACAGGTGAAGCAACTTAATGATGCCATTTTTTGTGTCACTAAATTAACAGGTTGATTATTGATGAAGAAGCCTATCAATAGTCGTCGGTTGAACCAGGGGCAAACGTTCGCTCTATAAAAAAAGAGTGAAAAACTCACTTTCCGAAGAGTGAATCTCTTATAAAAACCACTCAAGAGTGAAAACCACTCCAAAAAAAATATGAAAATTTACTCCAAAAGAGTGAAATTTCCACTCTTTCGAGGAGCCATAAAAAGGGACCACTCTTTTTAAACTGGTCCCTTATATGGCTCCTCGAAAGAGTGAAAATTTCACCTTTTTCGAGTGATTTTTAACTATTTTTTGAGGGTTTTTTCACTCTTTTGGAGTGGTTTTCTGTAATATTCACTCTTTCTTCACCCCGTCTTTTGGAGAGTGACCTTTTCACTCTTTTACATTTAGAGAGTTTTTGTACGGTTTTATTGTGTTGGTTTTTTTGGGGGGGAGGGTTCAAGGTACTCAAAAAAAAAGAGAAAACAAATGATGTTCAATCACGGTTTTCAAGACATCAGTATATAAAGTACGAGGAATACTATACTGTTAAATTCGATGCAAATTTAATCACTTTTTTACTCAGTTGTATGTGCTCAGTTCAGATGTATATCATATTGAGGTGGAAAATGTCTTCATTTGACTTGCCCATTGCTAGTAGGTGTGCGATTTTGAATGTAAAAATAAATAAAGTGACAGAAACTCAAACTTTGTTGAACTTTTTAATATTATTTTTTTGTTGTAAATGATTCCCTGAAGTGCTTCAGCAATATGCTCCAACCTTTCCCCGGATGTGAAAGAGACTAGGAATTTGCAGTTCAGCAGTTATACGAAAAGTGCAGCGTTTATAGTCTTTGCTCGTGGGAAAAAGAAAGAATAATCCACTCTCAGCATACAGCTAGGCAGGGGCAGTGGCGCAACGGGGGGGGGGGGGGGGATTTTACATCTTTAACCAAGCCATCCTGTGCAACACTGCAGCTGAAAGCAGTTAAAGCTATCAACAAAAAGTACAAACTTTTCATTAATATATGTCAGCGAAATTTGGTCCTGCTTCCAGCACTCGGCTAGTCTGAGCATGGAGGAATTTTCCTCCATGGTCCGAAATCACCTGTATATCTCTCTTCGGTCCATTCGGCAGCCGCACCAGTTTCATTATCGTACCGAAAGGGGGCGTGATCTGCTCAGTTTTCGTTTTACATGTTTGTTATTTTAAAGTGTATTTCATGACAGATAAAAATGGAAGAGAGAACATGGAGAAATATAACCATTTCTCCATGATATAACACACGGAGAGACAGTACCAAAAAACGAGCACATACATGAACAAGATGAAAACCTTTGAGACGTTTTCAACATTTTAATTTTTTGAAGCATACTTGAATCAATACAGCGATTTTTTTTTTTGCAAAGGACATTTTGGCCATAATTTTGGCATCGAAATGCAATTGCACCAACTATACGTTATTAAATAAATCCATCCGGCTTGCATGCATGCGCTTTTTGCACGCACGATTTGTGCATGTGTTTTGTGTACACAATTTGACACATCGAAAGATGGCGACTGCCGGGCCGTCCAGAGCGAATGCTACCGCACCAAAATTTGATTCCAAAAACCTGGAAATAAAGACGAAGTCAATTGAGCAGACATTGGTGCCACTTGTGACACAGGTAAGGTTTGAATTGCGCCGTGAAAAGTAGGAGAAAACTGCGGTGTTGTTTGTGTAACATGTGTAAACTTGTCCAGATAGTCAGTGCTGCATACATGTAGGCCTACTACAGTCACTGACTCAATCTGTGCAGCGCAGGCCCATCGTGAAGGGTATAGACCATGTAGACTCTAGCGTTAGCGTATCAAAATTTTAGAGATCCGACATGTTGTCATCGCTAAATCTTCAAATGAACTTCATAAGAAAGGACCAAATTTCAGATTGTATATGGTTAAAATAATGTGGGAATATTAAAAATAGGATTAAAGGTCAAAGGTTCTCACCGAAACTCCAAACTTCCACATCGTCGGTCGACCCTGGAAGCCACGCAGCACTCGGCATGCTCGGGATGATCATTTGCACATTAATCTGAGCCTTGGATACCCAACAAACCATTTGATGCATACATTACAACAACAATTTTTACTGGCCATTTCTCTAAATTAGTTTCACTAGGGAATTGACATTTTACGCAGTCATCGCTACGCTTCCGCAGTAAAATTGTTGCTTTGCAAACTTAATAATGAGCATCTGAACGAATGACGTCATCATCCATTTTCTCTGGCCAATAGGAAGACACGCTGGTCCGAGTGAAGGCATTCCATTTACAGTCCCGAAGCACCTGCATGTTCCGTGTTACATAAGACTTTATCCAAGAACTTCCGTTAGCACAGGATCTGTCACTCTCAAGAAATTTGAGGGGAAACATGGAGCCCGATCCGAACGTGTAGAAATTTTGGTTTGTCCAAAATTTATCCAGCGCATATGCACACGATCATACCTACATGTACTATAATTGTATACGTAAAACTCTCATTGTGTAAGTTGTATTTCTTTTCCCATTTGTTTTTAAGTCATATTTGAAAGACCACAACAGACCACTCAGCTTGCAAATTCATATTTTATGCACGTGAAAGTTCAGAAGCAAGAGTAAGGCAATACAAGCAAGGCATTCACAATTTAAATGTTTTGGTTGACTTTATTTGGGCGGTGTTTTCTTTCTTTGAAGTGTGCATTAATTTGAAATATATATCAGCAAACTGGTCAATTACTGACCTTATCATTGAGGTTAAATGTACCATACTTTTAGGATATTATATATTTTCATTCAGAAGCCCATGACCTTTTTCCCATCCCAATTTACCTAATTAATTTATGGTAAAGCCAACTTGATGCAGAGTAGCTTGTTGCTTAAATAGTCAGTTTCAAAGTACATGTAGACATTTTTTTTGTTCAATTGTTTTGGTTTTTGGATGAAATAAATTTTCTGTCAGAGAAATGACATTGAACTGACGTGCCATCTTTCTAGTAGGCAGCTTGCTTAAGAAATCTTGTAATAAAATAATAATTAAAAAAAAAATAAATGAATAAAAAATAAATCTATTCCAAGCATACTTTAATTGCAATTCACCGCTCTTAAACAAGTTTTCTTAAAATTTAAATCCTGCTAATTACTTTATTTTACCAAACTCTGTACTAAATAGCTTTTTTTTCACTTGACACGGTGACCATGAAAACATTTACCTTCACTTGTGTGGATCGGGAAAAATGACAATGTTTGAATAACTCAAATACAATTAAGGATGAGCTTCAATGGTGAAATTGGACATAATCTGAAGTAAAATTCATTGGCTTGCCATTTCATACTACCATGGGCTATTGTTCCTTGCTCATTTGGAAAATTCAATAACCATTACTTATTGCCAAGCTTGCGCAAGTGATCAGGCAGCGTGATGGGGGTTATTGTAAATTGATGATAACGACGTGCACTCCCAGTCCATGGTACTTTGGAGGACTGCACAATTATGACAGATTATGCGTCACGCTTCACTGATTACGCAGTAAATTGCCCGTGACGGGTATAATACTGTGTATGACAGTACCGCATTGTGGCATTTCATCACCCTTTATTTCATCTTTTCAAGGCGGAATGGAAACAATGAACCGGGAATAATGCGAAACAGGCAGTGTTGGCTCTTTTGCATTAAAATCCTCCTGCTATCTGAACAGTCAAACACGTTCAAAAAATCAATCTTCTTCCCCTGCCATGAGTCACCTACAGTCTGATCATATTTCAAGCAAGCACTGTGACTAGTCAAATTCAGTCAACACACAAAAGCAGACAAGTGGTAGGCACAGCTGGCTTATCAATCGCCTACAGTCAAAATCATAGCTGTATCAAGTTACATGAACAGTCACTTTATGTAGGCTGGGAGCTCCTAACTGTTGAACTTGAAAACAGTCACTTGAGTGATTTTGACTGAAATGACAACTTGGCACAGAATGTACGTTTGCATAGGAGGGTTAAAATAATATGCGTGTGATTAGGTCGCTCATGAATATTTAGGGAGGGACAGTCAATTGTGCGCCAGTGTATATAATAAATTTGTCAATGCAAGTTGGAATTCTCCATACTGAGAAATGAGTAACTAGTCTGTAATACTATGAATGCTAAATTAAAGATATTTGTAAAACAATTGGCGAAGACTACAGACTACATGTACCGGTATTTCGGCAGCAGCAATTTTCGGCGGTGGCACCAGGCTGGTGCGAGTCACGCTCCGGTACACGTATTTCCACACGCTCTCCGCATGCACTCCGGGCTCTTTGAACCAATAGGGTTGCCAAAATGCTTGCGCGCTTGTCTTTAAGAATACATGCATGCGCGGATGTAGCACCACGTCAAAAATGGTTTGTAATTTTGTTCAGCGAATTACACTATGTATAGCAGGGTTGAGCACTAAAGAACAAATTTCTTTAAAGCCAGAGTCCATCATTTGCAGCTACTGGTATCCCAAAAGTAACTGGCGTAATTTTTGTTGAAAAACATACAATGTACTTGGTTGAAAGATAGAAAGGGAACTAAACTCCCTGTGAAATTTTTCTTTCTGGCAAGCTGCCATTTTGAAGTGATCAACGAAAGAAGGCCTTTCCAACGGTGCTTCTTAAGACGCACCATAGGAAATTTAAATTAGTAGTTCGTTTTGTTATTCGGCGAAGCGCGCGCAAGCATTGGCACAATGCACACGCACGCGCGGTTGCTATAATTCGTCGGATTTTTTTGTTGGGAGTTTTCATAATTTCAGGATTTTTAAAAAGAATCCCTTTGGAATTCCGGAGGTTTTTCCGTAAACCTGTTTTTGCCTATCAAAGTTTTATATACATGTACAACAAAATAAATTGGTATTTTAGGGGTGCTGTTAGGCAAAATTGTGCAAACATATTCCATAGACCCTACGTTGCTCTGGGCCCCCGGCGACCCTCAAACCCTCTGTGGATTATTTTGTGGATATTTCATTTTCTCCCAATCTCACTCCTGATTAAGGCCGAGAAAAAAAAACAACAACCAGTTTCTCGTCTCGATTTTGTCTTTATGTTTCCTGCAAAAGGTAGCCATGCTTGTTCAAAATCTGGTAGAAAGGGTGAATGCTCCTTTGGACATCAGCAAAAGAGTTGAGATGAATCCATCTGCTATCTGGGGGGGGGGGGGGGGGGGGAGGGGGGGGGCGCCCCCTCTTTTTTTCCGAAAATCCCAAACCCAACTACTTGTTTTTTTTTGCCTCACCAATATTTTTCAAGTGTAACTTTATGGAAGTAATTTATTAAGGCGATATAAGTATGTCAACAATGTGTTGAGACTGTTTTGTCTCAATGTGTTATGAAATTGAGAGTCAATTGTTTTGATGAATTCTGTCACATGAGATCCTCATAATTTTGCCCTCACTGTCACAAATAATGTAATTTGGACTTCTCAGCTGAAGGATATAGAGCCACAGATGTCCTGCTTCACCTGAAAAAAAAATGGAACAGAAGTAAAATAAAAATTTGTGAAAGTGAGTGCAATAAAAGAAGTCCATGAATAATGGGAGGCATTGCACCTCTTCACCTCAAGACAATAGTTAAATTTTTTTGGGAGCGGGCTGATACTTATTATCATGGTTTAGAGTGGACTAGTTGTACGTGTTTGCAGGTGGATTCCGTACGTATGGGAATGCCAGTGGGCCGTGTTGTTGGTAAGGTGCCATAATATATACGGACTGCAGCTGCATTGCACCGTCACTGAACTGGACATTTATTATGTTTTTTATTGAATGGAAAATCAATATTTAAAGATCAAATTTTAAAACATCGAAAATTTTGAATAGCACCTAAGCCAACCACTCAGTGCCGATAAATATTCCATCAATAAATCCAATTGGAAATGGTTGTAAGAATTGTCAGTGGAATATGTTTGTTGAGTTGGGAAAAAATTACAAGAAGTAAGGGAGGACAGGATAAAAGTCCGGTGGGGACACAGCTTATGTTCGCATCGCATGATCAATGTTCATGTCGAAGGAAAGTGCAGTAGAAGTACTAGCGCAGTAATTGAATTAAAATACTGCAGTAGTGGGCCATGCAGAATGTTTTTAGCTCCAAACCCCAGGTTACTCGGTGAATAATTGAATTTGTCCCCCTCCCTCCAGATGACAACTGTCCATTTGTTGACACCATGTGGTCCCCATCAGAAGGTCATGTGCGGTGATTTCTCCCTCGGAGTCCAGAGACTCTCCTGGGTCTCAAATCAATTGTAACATTTGATTCAGTCTGTCGGTCCAATTAGACTTCCATCCCACCTGGGTTCCTGAATGCCAAAACAAGATGACCCACATTTGCAGACAAGGATGATACATGTATATAAAAAAAAAAAATATCAGACTGACTGATAAGATCAAGGAATGTGAATTTAAAGACAAAATGTGCAAATCTTTCGTCTAGCTAATTTGAAATTCAGAGCAGGAGTTGAACAGTCTTGAGCATCCTGGATGCAATACCGTGACCGCCCCATGCATAGTAATATCAGTGAGCCCCACGGCCATGCCCGGTTACGAGCCGAAAAGGAAATTTTCTGCCCCTGTGCACAAAAATGACCTTGTCACATGCATGCCTGAACATCCCTAGCCATGTATAATGGCCAATAGTGAA